ATTTTAATTAAATTAAATTCAATTTAAAAATACTTTATTAATCCCAGAGGGAAATTGATTCATCGTCCTTGTAGTTTTCGTCCACCTTCATCGTAACATCGTCCTTGTAGTTTTATAAGCTGATAATTAAACTGAAGCAAACATCTTTACTGTGAACTAAATTTACTGTGTATCTTCATTCCTTTTGCCGTCCTTTTTCATTTGATTTTTCCTACTGGGAAGTTAGAATTTCCGAGGAGAAAGCGAACGCACCATTAGCTGATAACAATGGTGGCAATGGAAGCTAACATGTCAAGCTAACGTTATCTTAAACAGTTTATTTAGCTGCTGGAGCAGATTAAAACGATGCTGCCTCACACTTAGATCGTTGTTACTGGTTTCATCTTCACCCAATCACCCGTCGCATTTAGTAAAGTGAAGCCAAACTTTAGAGCGCGTTCATGTTCTTCTAGTCAGAAATTCGGAGTTCTGAGGAGAAAGCGAACGCACCATTAGCGAAACGGAAGCTAACAAATCAAGCTAACGTTATCTTATACCTACCGGAGTAGATTAAGATGAGGATGTCTCACTTAGATCGTTGTCGCTGGTTTCATTATCACCCAGTTACCCATCACATTTAGTGAAGTGGACCCAAGCTTTAGCGTGCGTTCTTTCTACCATGCTGCTCTGTTTACAACTGGCTCGCAGCGACTGACGACATAACGCTCTTGCGCATGCGCAGCTGTCTAGGCAAGTTCTCGTTATGAAGGACGGGTACCAAAACGAGGCACCGTTTCAAATGACGTGAATCGGTGCTCAGTCGGTACTATGGAATTCGGTCGGTGCCTTAAAAAGTACCGAATTCGGTACCCGTCGCTATATGGTACCAGCTAACATTCTAGGGTACCTCTTAGCCAATAGCGATGGCCGATTTAAATTCAAATACAGTGCAGAGTTTTTACCTGACAACGGCACAACACTGACAGTTTTAGACAGAAAATTAAAATTTTAACTAGAATGCACTAAAGTGCTAAACTATTGACAACATGTGTCTGCAGCACGATTAGACACACATTTATGTAGTTTATCAGAAAAGTAAAGTTGATTTGGGGGTGACTTGCTCTTTAAATGGATTTATCACCCAGGCCTATGTGTTACAAGACAATGATTCGAACAATAACCACACATGGCCGCAGGGAAGTTCTGAATCAGCCAGATTCACAGAACCAGACCCGGCGAGGGATGTAAATCTGCATTCCATGCACCAAGCTGAGGCTTGAATGTTTCTGCAAAAAATATATAAAGTAAATGTGTGCTATAGGATCAGCTTTCATTGCAGTTACCGCTGCTTTAGCAGACTACAAAGTGACATTTGCAGGACCAGGGTATCTGCAGGTTTAAGGGAGCCAAATTTAAGACTTTTTAAGACCTTTTTTAAGGCCACTTTGACCAAATTTAAGCTATTTTTAAAATTAAATTTAAACTATAATTTCCAGCTATTGCCTGGGGCCGGTGCTAACCACGTCGTGAACGTGGGATTAGCCATCCAGTTACCATTAAACTTGCACTTCCCCATGGCGCACACTCCCGCTAGCTTAACCAGCTAATGTGCTCATCTAAAAACAGCCCCCTTTCACAACCAACTGAATGTGTACTTACGCCAACATCGTACACAAAAAATGCTGAACACTAACTAGAAATTCATGAAAATTTATATAGAAATAAAAGAATCTTGTTTTTTGGGTCTTTGGTAATTTAAGACCTTTGGAAAGTGTATTTAAGGATTATTTGTCATTTTTAAGGATTTTCAAGGCCTTAAATTTGGAAAAGCAAATTTAAGACTTTTTAAGACTTTTTAAGGACCCGCGGATACCCTGAGGACAAATGAAACCTTCTTTAGTGGAATACGCTGTTTTGATTTCAGAAAACAACCACTAATAAACAAAAATAGGTGTTTTTCAGTGAATGTGTGAATCTGGGTTCAGAAGCAGCAATTGTATGATGTTGCTCTGTGGTTTTTCCACGAGTTAAGCGTGGGTGAAGGGGAGGGCTGTGGTTTTAACCACGTCTGTCCAAGAACAACACACTTGTTAAAGTCAAATTAATAAAAATAAAAAAAAGGTTTGTATTCATGCACGCCCCCTCAAATGAGAAAAGTAAGAACGCACGTCGGAGAAACATCACAGCCCACAAGCAGAAACCCGCACCAGACATGTTTGGGTTTTAAAAGCTCACTTAGGTAAAGACAAGTGAGGAGGTGGAATGTTTTTCTGCTAGAAATAACCAAAAGTCACTAAAATAAGACTAATTCCCACGCTGAACTAATTGTTTAATGTCGGACTGTTACTGTTTAGAAAATGTATTTCTGTTTGTAGGGAGGACTTGACGAGCAGATGGGTTCGTAAAAGTCAAATGTCAAAGCCATAAACACACGATCCTCCGTGGAAAATCAAGACAAACGAGTCTAAAAGGCATCAAAGAAGTTTAATTAAAACGAAAAGACAAAAATAAAAGGAAAATACATAAAAACGTACGCCCGAATAACAAAAAATAAAAGAATACAGGTGCTGGCCAGTAAATTAGAATATCATCAAAAGTTTGAAAATATTTCAGTAATTCCATTCAAAACATGAAACTTGTACATTATATTCATGCAATGCACACAGACCAATGTATTTCCAATGTTCATTACATTTAAATTTGATATTTATAGGTGACAACCAATGAAAACATCAAATCTGGTATCTCAGAAAATTAGAATATTCTAAAGGCCAATGAAAAAATGTTTGTTTCTCTAATGTTGGCCAACTGAAAAGAATGAACATGAAAAGAATGTGCATGTATAGCACTCAATACTTAGTCGGGGCTCCTTTTGCCTCAATAACTGCAGTAATGCGGCGTGGCATGGACTCGATCAGTCTGTGGCACTGCTCAGGTGTTATGAGAGCCCAGGTTGCTCTGATAGTCGTCTTCAGCTCCTCTGCATTGTTGGGTCTAGCGTATTGCATCCTCCGCTTCACAATACCCCATAGATTTTCTATGGGGTTAAGGTCAGGCGAGTTTGCTGGCCAATCAAGGACAGGGATACCATGGTCCTTGAACCAGGTGCTGGTGGTTTTGGCACTGTGTGCAGGTGCCAAGTCCTGTTGAAAGGTGAAGTCTGCATCCCCATAAAGTTGGTCAGCAGCAGGAAGCATGAAGTGCTCTAAAACTTCCTGGTAGACGGCTGCATTGACCCTGGACCTCAGGAAACAGAGTGGGCCAACACCGGCAGATGACATGGCACCCCACACCATCACTGACGGTGGAAACTTTACACTGGACCTCATGCAACGTGGATTCTGTGCTTCTCCGCTCTTCCTCCAGACTCTGGGTCCTTGATTTCCAAAGGAAATGCAGAACTTGCTTTCATCAGAAAACATAACTTTGGACCACTCAGCATCAGTCCAGTCCTTTTTGTCCTTGGCCCAGGCGAGACGCTTCTTGCGCTGTTTCTTGTTCAAGAGTGGCTTGACACACGGAATGCGACACCTGAATCCCATGTCTTTCATGAGTCTCCTCGTGGTGGTTCTTGAAGCGCTGACTCCAGCTGCAGTCCACTCTTTGTGGATCTCCCCCACATTTTTGAATGGGTTTGTCGTCACAATTCTCTGCAGGGTGCGGTTATCCCTAGAGCTTGTACACTTTTTTCTACCACATTTTTTCCGTCCCTTCGCCTGTCTGTTAATGTGCTTGGACACAGAGCTCTGCGAACAGCCAGCTTCTTTAGCAATCACCTTTTGTGTCTTGCCCTCCTTGTGCAAGGTGTCAATGATTGTCTTTTGGACAGCTGTTAAGTCAGAAGTCTTCCCCATGATTGTGGTGCCTTCAAAACAAGACTGAGGGACCTTTTAAAGGCCTTTGCAGGTGTTTTGAGTAAATCAGCTGATTAGAGTGGCAGCAGGTGTCTTCTATATTCAGCCTTTTCAGAATATTCTAATTTTTTGAGATACCAAATTTGGAGTTTTCATTAGTTGTCACTTATGAATATCAAATTTAAATGTAATGAACATTGGAAATACATTGGTCTGTGTGCATTGCATGAATATAATGTACAAGTTTCACGTTTTGAATGGAATTACTGAAATATTTTCAACCTTTTGATGATATTCTAATTTACTGGCCAGCACCTGTAATTACAATACCGAAAACATAAAAATGCCCATGCTGTAGTTATTTTTTAAAACACAGAGCAGTTTTGTTTACCTGGTTTCCCGCTACGTTCCGTTAGCGGGAAACCAGGTAAACAAAACTGCTCTGTGTTTACAGCATGAAATTAGAGATACGACACAGCAAGAACACACCTAAGATGTTCAAAGAATAAAAATGCCCATTTATAAATATTTATTTACACAAATGCTCTTTTCTTCATGTATACAGTATGATTTAATGCTTGTATTTTGATTTTTACCCCCACCCACCCCACCCCACCCCCACACCAATGTAACTTCTGCCTTTTCCCCTCAAACTTTTACATCGAGTCGTTCAGCCACTTTAACTCTGATCTCCTGAGCTTTCGGCCAGACGGATACGGAGATTATTTATGTGGAAATTAATTAATTAACTCAGCAGTTTCCAAACCCTTGATGAGCATCACAGCTGCAGCAGAATAAATTTAAACTTGGAGTAAAATCGCTTTACGACTGAACTTCCTGACAGAATCTGACGGGTCCGAGGATTTTCTGTTAGATGGATCAGAGTTTTTCGTTTTACACCCACAGTATAACAGATGTATTCTAATAGAAAAGCACGGGCATCAATGTTAGGCTCTAGGAGTGGAGAATCCACATTTGTTGTTTTTTATTCCTGTCCTGAAACGTGTTCATAAATAGCCCGTACAGCTGAGGTGAAATAGTTGGTGAGATTTGCAAGTAAACAACACAAACACAGACTTTATTGGCTGAAAGCAGAAACTAGGGATAAAAGCTTAGGAGAGGAAAAACAACAACCCTCCATTCATTTAATGCAGCGGTGAAACTGACCTGTTCATGATCTGGATCTCCAGACACCATCGCTCTTTGTTTCTGTCACTCAGCTCCTGACGACACTGCTTTATAGCGATCTGCTCCTCTGTGTCCTAAAAAGTAAGTAAGTTAGTAAAGTTTATTTATATAGCGCCTCTCACAGATATAAATCACAAAGCGCTGTACAACATGAGTAAAATCAGGGCAAATACCTCAAACCAATAAAAACATCATAAAAACAATAGCAGTGATAACAATAGTAACCAAAATCAGGAAAACACACAAAGTCCAGCATTTACATTCATACTGTGGAATGAACTTTTTTTTAATGTTGGTAAATTATTTAACTTCACCTTGGAACAAATCAATGGGAAAAAAAAGTCAAACGGGCATTCTCTATCCTGGTTAATAACAAAATGTCAGGTTTAAATTTAAACTACCAGCTAACGTTCTAGGGTACCTCTTAGCCAATAGCGGTGGCAGATTTAAATTCAAAAGCAGTGCAGTTTTGACCTGACAACGGCACAACACTGACAGTTTTAGGCAGAAAATTTAAATTTTAACTAAAATGCACTAAAGTTCTAAACTATTGATGACACGTGTCTGCAGCACGATTAGACAAGCATTTATATAGTTTATCAGAAAAAAAAGTTGATTTGGGGGTGACTTGCTCTTTAAAGTGCTTTACGGAAGCAAGAACAGCAAACAAACAGTAAATCAAACAAAGAAATGTAGACGTTAATTTTCAGATTCAACAAATGGATAAAAGGCAAAGTCAAAAAGGTTAGCAGTTAACAGTCCAGAGAACAGAAAAAAAATATCCTCTCTCTAAAAAAAGACAAAGCCCGCAACCTGTTTCTCATCAAGGAAACGGCACCACCCCTCTTTCCTCTCTTGATGAAATCCCAAACCACCCTGACCTAATTGTAACCCACAGCATTGTCATAAATGCAGGAAGAAGGAAGTTAATTCATGTCAGCCGTGGTGCCAGGGCGTCTTCATCAGTAAAGCATTTTCCCCATCCCCTCCTAAAATCCAGACTGCAGCAGTGCAGAAGAGGACCACAAAATCCTTAACACAGTTTCAATGATTACTATGTTGTGTTGATGTGAACTGATTATAATATTTTTTTAAATGTGCATGAAAATTTTGTTTTTACAAAAAAGTAAATGATGAGTTCCTCATCCTGTGTTACATCCAGACTAGGCTGCTGCCTGCATGGCTCTGAGGTCGTCCCGAAAGTGAGGGTGAGTAATACGAGTGCAGCTGTGAGGAAGAGGAACTAACAGGGAGTGTTTATATTCCCGTACTGTCCTTTCACCTTGTCATGCTGTGACTTAATCAGACATCATGAATTTCCTTGTATGATGTATTTATTTCTCAGGTAAAAAAAACCCAAAAGCACAAACTAGGTCAACATCATCTTAGAGCACGTTTGTGTACACACCATGTCTTCTCTTGCAAACAAATCCTGCTCAGAAACATCAATAAATCTCCACTTATAATACCATAAGTTAGCAGTGTTGAGAGTCTTGCTGCAATACTGCAGGCAGAAATCTAAAATAACAAGTTTTTAGCATAATTTTAGCATAAATAAACAAACACTCGAGATTTATGACACCGACCTCATTTTGTTAGACAAGAAAAAGTAACGAAAGAGTTTTAACATTATCCAGTAAAGAGATGCTGAAGCATAATCAAAGACATTTATTTGTCTGGAATTTTAGAAAACTGTATGTTTTAAAGATAAAGACACATTAGGCTTTTTAAATTTGAAATAATATCAAAAAAGTGATTCTTTGTCATGCTTTTCTAAAGAAAATCCAAGTTTAACCATCCATTTTCAAGATAAATAACCCTTGTTGATTTTTTCCCCCCATAACAAAAGTTATTTTCATCAAGATTTTTTTAAATTGCACCTTATTTTGCCATCTGGTGACATTCCCAAAGCCTCCTGTGCCAAGTCTCTCTTTCAGCTCCCAAGGCCCACAGTTTTGAGGCTGCTGCAGAGGGACTCGATTCATGGTCTCCTCACCTGCAAATAAATAAATAAACAAATAAATTAATTAAGTAGAACTCTCTTAGAGCTCATTATCAGAGGTTAGCCCTGAGAAAATGCCCTGAAGTAATCTCAGTCACCCATTACGCAGTAAATGAATTATTAAATGTACAGAATGATGTTGAATTGGCAATGCACAGAATATTCCAAGAATTACCCTAAAATTAACAGATTACCAGTGGAGTCAGGCTCAAATGGGTGAAATAGGTCCAGGTAAGTGGGAGGAAGTAGAGAGAAAAGCAAGGGAGCCTAGAACTGAACCCTGTGGGACTCCATGAGAAGAGCAGATGTCACAAGTAGGACCTGACCGTCTCTATGCTGTTATAAGTTTCTATATTTGTTATAAAGCAATTTTAAATGGAAGTCTAAATATAATCTGTTCTTAGACTAAAAATAAAATGATTTGAGTAAGTACTTCTGAAAGTTGCATGTAAGTAAAACGGATGTTTTGAGGACTAATAACCACGTGTTAGAGATAGGAAATAATCGATTTTGTTTCGTTTTTATAAAAGCAGGTTTTCCACAGCGACACTTAAATGTACGTAAACTCTACAAGTTGGTGTTAAATGTTTCTCAAGCTGCAGTTAAACCCGCAGATTTAATGTAAGCGTCTAGTTTTATGAGAAAACAGCGTTTTGTTTGTGTTGCAGCGTTTTAATGAGGTCTGCTGTTGCATTAAAGGACTTTTCAGACTTTAAGCTTTACTCTGCACATTGACCCGTTTCTCTGCTTGGCAACAGAATAAAACTAAACTAGGTTTTCTCTTTTGAGATACTTGTTATTACGACCTACTACAACATGTTTGCGGTTCATGTTCAGGCACGTGAGCATCAGTCCGCTTCGGTCTTACCTTGAAACGTCTTTAACCGCGTTTAAGTCGCTCTCACGCTTGATTTTCTTTAAACAAAAGCGTGTATGGAGCTTTTAACCGAGTTAAACTGCTTTGTCTGCTTATTTAGGCGAGACAACACATCTCCCAGGCTGTCCACTTCCTGATACTCATATTTCCTGTTAACCTGATGAGACATAAACCCCGCCCACCGCGCGGGCTGACTTCTCGGGTCAAATCTTCAAATCCAGCTCACAGACTTCAAACTGATAGATGAGGGTAGGGAATGTTTGATAGTAGCCTTTCAGTTTGCGCCAGTCAGTGTTTTGGAGGTCACAACATGAAAATCCACGCGTTTACAAACTTTTTTACATTTTTAAATAATTTTCTTGTGCGCTAAAATGACCCTTTTTACAGGATTAATGAAATAACGCCCCCTGTGGCCAGAATATCGCACTAACAACTTCACAGTTGCCGGTTAACAGGTGTTACACAGTTATTATAACGGTACACATATCGGTCTGTTGGACTTGGAAAACATTGAGCTCACATACCTGACGCTGCTGTCCGGCTCCAGCACGTTTCCTGCACGTTCTAGATCATGAACACAGCTGGTAAGTTTTATTTTGTGATGCATCACTCCTGGAGACACTAAAGATTGGGAGACGTTTCAGCTGTTTCAGTGTTAAAGACAAATGCACAGCGGGATTTTGGTTTCGGTTCTTTTTTTTGTTTCCTCGTGTCCTGTCTGGCTGTGAAGCAAACAGAATTAATGTCTGAATGCTGGTGACAAGCCTTAAAAAATCAACTAATCAATGATGAACAAGAGTCTGCTTCTACACCTGCAGAAGGAGAGAAAAAGAAAAGGGACACAACAACAATACAACAGGAGCAAGCTATCACTGTGTGAACCTGATGAGGAAATATAAAATCAACATTGTTTTACTGAACAAATGATAATAAATCACAGTGCATTAAGTGCCAACCACAGCCTTAAGACAAGTGTTGAACGTGCCCAAGTCCATGCTTTAGAGAGCACCATGTGAGCACCTAGTGTACATGCGCTTGTTTATGTAAGGTTTCTCTATAGGAGCGTCCAGTAGAGAGTGTGAGGGGCCACAGATCTGCCCCCAAAAGATGTGTAGGAGATGGAAGGAGCTCCAAGTCTCAGAGATCCAGGAGCTGCCCCAGAGCGCAGGGAACCCAGGGAGACTGCAACCAGAAAATCCCCTGCCCCCCCTCAAGAGCCGCAGAAGATCACTCTGGGGGGCTACAACCAGCAGCCGGCAGAGTCCTGGGGGATATCAGCGGCAAGCCCACAGGCCCGCCCACAGCCTCCCACCCCCAAGCCGGACGAGCCTGGAACCCAGCGACTTGGGACCCAGGGGCGACCACCCCCGCTGGGGACCTAACAGAGCCCAGGGACTCAGATCCCGCAGGCAGCCACAGAGATTAATCAGGCAGATGCCAAAAATCAATCATGCAGACCAAGGCACCACACCCCACACCAAGTGTGACAGGGGGAGGGGAGGCGAAGATGTATAGCAGCAAAAGAAGTCCCTGGAGAGGGGAGGAGTCAAAGGCCCCACCTGACATATACAGTCATACACAAACACAGTCACACACTCCCTCCCTCATGCTCACACATACACATACAACCAAAGACTTACAAAAATGCACGCCGGACACCCACTCATGCTCCCCATACACACCCTATTCACTCTGGTCCCGGTACTGCTGCACATTGGGTACAACCATCACCGGTTCCCAGAGTTCAACCCTTTCTGCTGGGGTGCTGATGAGCAGATCCCCGCCCAACGCCGAGCAAAGCGACCCACCACCCCAGACCCCAGCCAGTCGGCCAGATCCCCCTCCTAGCCTCCAGCCCCGGGAAGCCAAGTGACAACAGAGGCGTGCTAAGACCCCAAGTCTCCTTCCCCCTGCTCCAATACAGTGATGGTGCATGTTGATGAGGTGTATTCGTGGCTGTGGTGAGCGGGCAGTGCAGGCATCATCTGGCCTATGCCAGCTGATACCACCACACCATGCCTCTTTCCCCCACAGTCCTCTGTGTCTAAGTGCAGTTTAAAATTGGAAGTGGGCACCGGCACTTGGGATGAGGCTAAAAGATCCCTTTGCCAAATTCCGTTAAATGTGCTCACTCCCAAGGCCCTAAGTGTGTGTTTGCGTGGAACATCGTTGGTGGAAGTGTTTAATGTGCAAATAAAATTGGGGGGCAGGCTGCCATAGGAATGCGGAAATGGGGTCCATACCCGCACCCTCTGACTTGTCCACCCCCCAAGGTCCTATGTGCATGTTTGTGTGATGATGTGAGGGAGCAGGAGAAGAGAAATGTGTGGGGATGGGGAGGAATGGCTGGGCCTAAGCCCTCCAGGGAGCCAGCTCCCCCACTGGCCCCAATAGGCACTTCCATTGCCAAAATGCCACCCAGGGCATGGACACCCCAGCCCATCATAGGCTGTATCAAGTCCAATATGATCTAACAAAATATTTCAATACTGGTTGATGCAAAGAGTATCTCTATTTTTCCAATTCATGAGGATAGTTTTCTTAGCGATGCATATGGCAGTCAGAACCACGTGAACCAAAGATGTTGCAATCGGGAGACTGTCCAGGTTTCCCAGCAAACAAAGAGAGGGGGAAGTTGGGATATTGCATTTCAGACACTCTGACAGGTCTTCACCTAACCTACCCCAAAATTCCTGGACAGGTGGACAGGACCTCAGTGCGTGGATGTAATTGTCAGGAATGTTGTTTGTGCAGTGTGTACAGGTGTCAGACGACACAAACCCCATCCTGAACATCCGATGACCTGTATAGTGTACTCTGTGTAGAATTTTGTACTGAATTAATTGTAAATTGGGGTGTCTGATCATTTTAAAAGTTTTTAAACAAGTTTGGGACCAGAAGTTCTGGTCAAAGCTGACTGATAGATCCACCTCCCATTTTTCAATAGGGATTGCTATTCTATCGTCTATTTTGGACAGTGTCTGATATACTTTAGACAGTAGTTTGGGGGGTTTGAGATTATAGAAGTCTAATACCCTTAGTGGTGTTTGTAATTCTATTTTATTTAGCTTACATTTTTGTTTAACTACAGATTTAATTTGGTGATATTCTAAAAAACTATTCTTATCTACCGTAAATCCTCTAATATTGGCTTGTATTCAATTAACGGCCGGGTATCATGTTTTGGCCGGTGTCGGAGTCGGCGGAGGTGAATAATGGCCGGTATTTTATTGTGGCCGGGTGGAATGTGGTAACAAGCAAGTACCACGGGGGGGCGGTTGTGTCATCCATCTCACTTTTGATTTGCCAGTGACAGACTGCGATTTGGCAGGCTTTGGCTTGTAAACGCAATATTACAAGAATTGATAATGGCTCCACAAACATACGAGTGCTTATTTAAAATAGTTCTTTTTTGACAGAACAATCAGAAATTGATCAGAAAAGAGAGGATTAATGTTGCATTTAGCTATAAATATAATTTTTTATTGATGAAACTTGTCAAAAGGTTTACAAGTCACGCCATGAGTGGCAAGTGTTTGTGTCTGTGATTTCTTTATGTCAGATTAAAGTATTTATCATTTTGACCAGAATCAGTCTCCAATCTAGGCCCAAACCTCTTCTACAAGTGAAAAATTGAAGATTTGTTGTGTTTTATATGTTTAAACCTTATAAAAACAAAAGCATCTCTAGGATGACAGCTGAATATTTATGATTTTACCAATTGACAAACATGCATTATGCTTTCTTCCAAATTCTCATGCAATTCCAAACAAAGACATGTTACTCAGTTTAAAACGTAAAAGTAATACACACTTATAAATATGAATTCAACCAGCAACAGCAGCCGAGGTTCGTCACTCCAGGAAACAATATCTCCTTCCTGAGGAAACACAAGACTATTAGAAATGTACAGCTGTGTGTCATCTGCATAACAACAGATATTTATATAGAATATTTGTGAAATGCACAACCAAGAGGAAGAGGATAGGTTATAAACAAAAAAGGCCCCTGGACAGAGCCCTGAGGGACTACAGCAGAGATTTGTATCTGCAGCTACAGAAAAATAATATAAACTGAATTGCAAGTGACAGCAAGAACAAACACATAATAATACCTGTTTTATTCATGCTTGGCACAGTATTCCCTAATTTTACTGTCATTGTTGATCCATCCTTTATGTGTAGAAAAGCACTTCTACTCCTCAGAGGAGTAGTGATCTCCGTTTCATCACCTGCTATTCTTGGAAAGAAAAAGAAAAACTGGAGAAAAAAGTTTATCCTAACAGAAAACTAGCTCTGACGTTTCTCAGACGTAATGCGGGGGTGTTTGGGACAGACGTTATCAGACTGGAAATGTTTCCTGTTGGTACAAACAAAATAAAACGCAACATCTAAATCTTTTCCAAATAGTACAGAGGTATAAATAGAGCTTTTAATGACAGACCTTAGTTGTCTTGTTTTTATTATGCCGTCAGCACTCTTCTTATGACACAAGTGTTTATCTTTTATGACTCGAAAGGTAAATTATCCCTTTTAATCGGCCTTTTTTAGGTTTTGCTTCATTCATGAGCAACTTTTATTGACTCATTCACTCGTTTTAAACAATGTTCTTGGTATTTTACAGCACAGATGGCATCGTGTGTCAATACTTAAATAATTTGTCAGTTGTGAAGTTATCTTTGTATGAGCTGCTGTCAGCTGTGGCTACAGTGAAAGTCAGAGGAGGAAGAAACAGGTCATTTGAGTGTTGGGAATGGTCTTTGAGACCAATGGTCTGGGAATTTAAAGAAAATTAAGGGAGAAAAATCCAAAACTTTTCATAGTTTTGCAGTTATTCCCCAAATATTTAATTGTTTTTTTGAAGAGAGTTGGAAATTAAAAGATCAGAATCCCTCTATGGTCTGGTAAATCAGAAATTAATGCATTATCACAAGAATTAAACTGAAAAAGTCAAAGTGAAACTTTAGCTAAAGGGGATCTCACTTATCTGGTATTTAAGTATAATAAAAATGATTTTGTGCAAAGATTCCTGTTTGTCTTCCTGCTGTTGACTTTGTCATTTTGTCAAATGTGGACAACAAGGTCTTAATCTCCGATGTCACTGGCACAGATTCTAGAAACATCAATTCAATGTCTCTTTATTCTTGATTTAACAATGAGATAAAACACGTTACCAGTCAGATCTGTCAAAATCTGTTTCTGTCTCAAAATAAAACTGAAGGAAAAATAAACACAGAGACAGTTGGAACCGACACCCAGCTGATTTACAGCCCAAAGCGCTGCTCTAAATCTGTTTTTCAGCACCAGAATAAAAAAGCATGAAGCATCCCACTGAAACAGGAACGGCATGGTTCTGAGGATGAAAGGAACTGGAACTGATTTTCTGAGGAAGGGATGGAGCCCGTGGTTCTGAAAAATGAGTTCTGGTTCTGGCTGGATCCGTCCCTCAGCTTCTCAGAGACCACTCAAGAGTCCTGTTGGATTATCATTTATGTCAATCAGATGCCGCCAAAATGAGCTTTCAAACTCAAGTAAATAATAAAGAAAAAAAATATTAAAGTGCTTTACTCTCCAGCTTTAAACTTTATTAAAACCGTGTTTTGTTCTGAATAGTGCTGTTGGTGAGTATTTATGGTTTATGAAGAATAAAAATGCCCAAAGGTTGTTTTTCTTTTCTTTTCAAGGCAAACTTAAATTAGAGAAGACATGGTTTATGTCAAGTTTTATGAGATGTAATAAAATCTTTAAATGAAACTTATTTTTGCTGTTAAATTTAAATAGAAAGTAAAGTTGATTATGATTCTAAATGACCTTCAGCTTTCTGTAAGTCCTCACCCGAGTCACAGGGAGGCGGGAGGACACCCTGGACAGGTCTCCTGTCCATCACGGGGACACACAGAGACAAATAACCACACACACACACACCAGGGGATCATTTAGAAAAGTTAATGAACCTAACCTGCATAATTTTGGTCTGTGGGACAAAACTAGAGAAAACCCACACAAGCAGAACATGCTAACTCGGCAGAATCTGTGTGGGAATCGAACCAGCAACCTTCTCGCTGTGAGACACTGGTGCAACGTGTAGCCCTCTGTGTGATTCCATTTTTATTTTTTATTTTCTTTAACATTTAAAGTGTATGTTAGATTTTTTTCCACTGAAGACGGAGAATTTATTGAGATTAGCAATTTTATTTTCTTCCTCGTGTCTTTCTGAAAGATATACTGAACAGGAAAAAATCTGTTAATGAAGGGAAAAAGACAGTGGCCTTGTGAAAAATGTTAACATGATTATTATTACTTATCATTATTATTATTATAGACTAAGTTACAACTCTTACTGCTTTGAGGCAATGTTTTACAATAAAGTTTTCTAAAGAACAAGTTAAAGCGCTTCCTCCTCACGATGCTGCTGTAATGCTGAGAAAATATTTTTTAATAAATTCTCAGAAGAAAAAACTTCTGGTCTTATTTTCGATTAGGAAAATCCCCTCAGGATGAGCCCGAGTGCCTCCCAGGCCCCGCCCACAACAGCCATCATCCTCCCACGTTGACGTCACAGCTCCTCAGCCCTCCCCCTCAGGCACCGGGGGAACCGGAGAGGTCTGATAAAACCTGAACTCAAAGGAAGGACCCTGACAGAACCTGCAGGAGGACACATCTGGTAAGAAGATTATCTATCATTTACACTTCTGTCGTGCTGCTGGTCTACTTTTTTATCTGTTCAGCAACTTTCTTATTAATAAAGAAAAAAAATTAAAACGCAGCAGAATTAATTGAGATTAGCAATCTTACTTTCTTCCTCATATCCACAAACTGCTAAGTCCTCACCAGAGTCACAGGGAGGCGGGAGGACACCCTGGACAGGTCTCCTGTCCATCACGGGGACACACAGAGACATATAAGCGCACACACACACACTTCTGTCGTGATGCTGGTCTACTTTTTTATCTGTTCATCAACTTTCTTATTAATAAAGAAAAACATTAAAACACAGCAGAATGAATGGTTTTGATTAGGTGGATTCAGTTAGATAATTATTATTTTTAACATAAAGCAACATTTGAACTAAAACACCATGTTGTCTTCTATTTACTGTAATGTGTGCATTATTCAGTCCTGAGGAGGAGAAACGGGTTTTTTTTTTATTTGCCTCACCTGTTCTATTAGTTTCCTGCTGCAGAGTAAATTCCTGCACCGCTGCTGACTTCACAGTCCTGAGCGCCTTTAAGGAACTTAATTAGTGGTTGGTGTGAAGCAACGCTCATGGCATTCTGTGGCTCCATCATTAGGCGTGTTAAGGGTGAGTGTGCAAAGCTGCTCACACCGGATTCATCATGTCCAGACTCTTATCAGGATCATCTGGATTAGGGACAGAAGGTCTAACGCTGACATCCTCCATGAAACTGGTACTCCATTCATGTTTGATCAGCATCTCCATCTGTGACCCTGACACTGACTCTACACCACACAAAAGCCTCCATCTGTTTCCATCCTGGGAGATGGGATGACTCAGAGTGGCTCATTTTCTTTCTGCTGACCTTTGGAATTTGATTCCCTCTCTCTTGTTTTATCCCCCATTTATCCATCCTTTCAACTCTTTTCCTGGAACTGTCTCACACACCATTACGACCCCAGTTTAGACCCGATGTCGACTCCTTGATATTTGTGTTTCCTGAAAAGGAGTTTGTGGTGCTGTTGCTCACGGGGGGGTAGGCAACAACGCGAGCTTCTGTAGAGCCCTGCAGGTTTACCCAAGCCTGACCAAAATCCCTGATGAGAAAAGGACAAATAACGCCATGACATCACCAGAAAGTGCTGGTGAATATCATCTCAAAAGGTCTAAAACTTACTTTGAAGATGACAAAATTTACTATTTGTGTTCGTTGGAGACCCGCAAATTACACATGGAAATACTATAATTATAGTTAAGAATCAAACAAAGAAAATTGGACAGGAATTCCTGTTTATGTTTCCATTTTCTCCACTAAAACCAGTGCAGCACCTCATTTATGTACCATTTTCCTGCATATTTGATGTAACTTCCTCCCTTTTCTATTAATTTCTTTGACAACATGAAGCATATTTTATAATACAGGCCTTGTAATGAGTTTGGTACACCTTGAACTTTCAGTAACTCTAATTATTTAATAGACAAAAAAAGTTGTTTTATCATTGGCTGCAAGCTAGAACAGCTAATTTGTGTTTTTTGCTTTGCATTTGTCTTTCTGTGCGGTTGTTCCTGTGTAAAGGTCTTAGATATAATTTTAAAGGACTCAGTCATGAACCAGAAATACTGACATGATGTATTTAAATGTAAATCAACATGCTTGTTTATTCCAAAACACCAAAAATTAAAACTTCAGAAGGAGCACTGCACCAACGCTGATGCAGAAACAGGAAGAGAAACTTTAAAAAATGCTTTCAACTGCAGTTCAGACTTTTATTTTCTGACTTGTCAGCCAGGTGCGACTGTGCTGCTGCACCACTAAACCCTTACCCACGTTGGTATTTTAGTTTTGTGGCACAAATAAAAGAATGTCTCACCTTCTAAAGCTCAACACAACATCGTGATTACCCGTCTTTTCACATCACCGTCGCTGCAATGTCAAACGCTGTGGTCACCGAGGAAGAGCAGTTCCTAAAATACACAGAAATGTCACGCAACTCCTGGCATTCACTTCCAGCTGGGATATTACCGCTGTGTGTGTGCGTGTGTGTGTGTGTGTGTGTGTGTGTGTGTGTGTGTGTGTGTTTGCCTTGCAGTGAATTGCACTTGTTTGCTGAACGTAAGTGCCTCATCTTCAAACCTGCTATTATGACTCACAGTCTGGCCTCTAAATTACCAAACTTGTTTTGGATCCATCCGGTCATATGTGACCCACTTACAGGCCGAAACACACGAGTTTCAGCTGTTCACAGATCAGTGTCACACCCATGGACGTAATTTTCACTTTAGAAGTGGGGGGGGGACACACCGGGGGGGGGGGGGGGGGGGGGATCTTTACAGTATGCTCTAAATTGAAACTGGCTTCAACACAAATGGTTGTTTTCCGCTTGGTCCTAGAGCTCAACCAGTGTCAATTTAATAAAGCGTAATATTGTTTTTGGATGGTAAAAAGTGCAGGGGTCAAAACTTGATTTTGGAAAAAGTGCCACCCCCCCCACCCCCCCACCCCCACCCCAAAATTACGTCCATGGTCACAACCAGGGGCGGTTCTAGGCCAAATTTTCCAGGGGGGCCACAGTGGGGCCAGTATTTTTTCATGGGGGCGCAAGAAAAAAAGGGAAAAATTAGTGCAATATCAAAATTCTTTTTTGTCATCGCCATATGACAAATTTTGTGCTTGTGCACAATTTTGCCAAAAGGAAATTCATTGATGTCAGGAAAATAAACTGTAGTGCTTGCATTCGTCTCTCAGCGTCTTTTCCGTTAGTCGTCCTCAAGAATTTCTTTGGGTCCCATTTAAACTATTTTTAATCTTTTATTCAAAAATCCACCGGGTAAACAGTTCTGTCCACAGAGTGTGCTGCGCTCTAAAGGCTCTGTTTGAAACGCTGCAGCGCATTAGTTCCCGTCTCCGAGGCAGCACGGGAAAAAAAAATCTGATCTCTTCAACACAGGGGCCATAACAGGGGCCAGGGCCGGTTCTATAGGGGCCCAGGCCCCTGTGGGCCCCTGTTTAAAACCGCCAATGGTCACAACTGTTCTTCATCTGTAACATTTACATATCGCTTAGCTTCTTCTCAAGTTAAAAATACACGTTTCATCTCAGAAGAAAACACCCACGATGTTTGTTCCCTGGAAACTGTCTTATTGCTGATTATTTAGTTGCAGAAAACCAAACATTTGGGAAAGAAATGTTTAGTTTCAGATAAGTTTAGATTTTGTATAATTAACAAAAGGTTCAGTGCCTGTTTAGTTTTTGCATTCCTCTGCTTAAATGCACTGAAGGTTGTGCAAAAGAAGACCTCTTGGGTTGCTGAAGAGATGCTGCCCTAGAAGGGCCCCTTATAGCGATCTTTACATGGGAGGGAAGCGCATGTGTTCTTGTCTGATTTGTGTGTGTTTCTGCACACGTGCTGATATGTATGTGCATGTAAGCACAGTGAGTGCACTGGCAGCATTTGAGCAGGAAACACATGTTTTCAGTTGACAGGGCTGCAGGGGGGGGGGGGGGGGGGGGCTGAGCAGCTGCACAAGAGAAACAAAGAGGAAACTGGTCTGGTTTTGTCACCCAGCCAGTGAGGCTCAGTTGGAGGGGTGAAAGCACCAGACTGCAGGGTTTTTGTTTCTCTAAGGCAAAAGCAGTTGTCAGCGGGCCCGTCCTTCTCATGTTGGCGTGTAAGTTTGTGTCTTTTTCAGTTAAACCCAGGGAAGGGGACGTTTGTCAGACCAAATGACAAATTAAAGGAGTAGTACATTTCTGTGTGTGTGTGTGTGTGTGTGTGTGTGTGTGTGTGTGTGTGTGTGTGTGTGTGTGTGTGTGTGTGTGTGTGAAATCACAAATTCAATTATCTCAGCTGACCACAGAAGGTGAGTCACAGAAGGACGAGACAGTGTGGAGAAACCTTCGAAGCTGGCCCGAGTTGGGATAGTTACCACTGCATGTCCGTTCCCTTTATACAAAAAAAAAACCTCTTTAGATTTAATCGCCACTTCTCAGATTAAAATCACGTGCAGCTTTTCCCTTTTCCTCCTCCTCCTAATCATCTGTAGTGACTCATGTTTACTCACGTGACAGAAGAGCGGCAGATTCTCTTCCTCCTCATTTCTTTCCTGCAGGACAAGAATCTTTTGCAACACCGGAAAAATGGTCTAAATATACAATTCAGTTCCCTAAAAAGTGGAAATAAAAGTTAATTCTTTAAGTTCTAACTTTTAAACTCTGATACTTTTGCTGGCTCATTGCCTCCTTTCCACTGCATCCTAGTGATCACCATCTAATATTTGTATACAAGAGAAGATCCCCAACATCCTGTTTATTCCCAAGAAAGTGACGGGCTATAGTTTCTGCCGCTGGAGGAATGTAAAGTAACAAGGGAAGTGAATTCAGGGTGGTCAAGAAATATATTAAAATGAATCAGTGAGGTTGTTTAGACTTCCATGTGACTCAAAACAATGAGCTCAACCTACAGAAGCTGGACATGAGCTTCCCGTTCCTACAAGCACTCCACCGTTTCCAGCCTTTTCCTGCAGTGAGCCGACTGTACCGACAGAGAAAGGAAGCTGAGCAGGGAAGCTGTTCAGCTGGGGAAAGATGACCAGTTTTGATTATTATCCTGTAATTGTTTCAGCTGATGACATATTTATGACTAACCCACAACAATACTACATCAGACACAAAAATGTAGTCCCCTCGTTGTGACAGACCCCTTCTCATGGCTCCTAATGTGTAGCGTCAGTGTTGATATTTCATCCTGCATTCAGGCAGCAGTGGATGCGTGTGCAGTTTAATGCAGGAAAATCATTAAGCACCAGTTAGTCCAGCTTGCAAATGTGTCACTGCTCATTCATGCAAAGGAAATGAGAGAAAATCCATTAATATGTTTTAAAATCTTAATGCCTATTATCTTATCTAATTCAGTATTCTGTTTCTAATATTATTTTTTTCTTCTCAGTGACCTGGAGACTTCTTGAGGTGAAGATTCACTCAGAGCAGACATGTCAAGTTCACTTCTGCTGTTTGTCTTTTCTGCTCTCTGCTGCAGCCTAGCGGCCAATGTGAGTAGTGCACCCCCTACCTTACCGTTGTTTATTATACAGTTTTGCTTCTTCATGCTACTTTGCAGAAACTGTTCATTTACTTTGAAGAATGTGACTTTTTATGCAGCTCAATCAAATGTCGTTATTTCATATTAAACTGTGATAGCTACCGGCTAACAGGTGTGGGTGATGAGGTAAAAATATCACATCACAGTGTTTTTATGGTGACTGAATGATTTAGTCTTTATAATTTACGTTAAAACTTAACTAAATATCTTATTTTAAAATTTTTTAAGTTACTGAAAACTAATAGTGAAACATAGCAGAAAAACAACAATATTAATCCAGAGAGCCCACTCATTTCATCTGATCAGCAGTGGCGCCTCCAGAAAATTTTGATAGGGGTGGTCAGATGGGGCCAAAGAAATTTTTGGGGTGGCACACCAAATTGGTCCTTGTGGTAACTATGGGAGGAGTGTAGCCTGTGGCGATGTTTTGCATTGCTGTTATGGCCACCAGCCTGGCCTCTTCAGGTGCAGGAGCCAGGATCACCCAGCCCCGGTGATCAGCCCAACACCGCCCCACCCTCCTCCTCTCTTCCAGGCTGCTGAAGAGCACAGCTGAGACAAATCCCTCCGACGACCTACACCTGGGGTAAAAATGCTGTGCCTTCAGCAGTCTGGGAGGCAGCGGTGCAGGGCTTCGTCTGGCCTCCAGGCCTAGTTTTGTTTTAAACCCCTTTGACTTGATGAGTTTTAAAGGTTAAAGCTCTTAGTGATCCATAGGGATCTTTGGGCGATGTCAACTTGGTTGACTCAGTTTTAAAGGGGCATTATGGAAGTGTGACAGCCAAAACATGTATAGAAATAATAAATGTCTTCTTCATACATTCTCCTGCAATGCCCTGGTCCTGTAGAATGAGCCCTGGCATTTTTACTGTGATTGCCTGTTTTTCTGTAAAATCACAGAAAAAGAGAGATGCTCGGGTCGAGCAGGCTGCTTCATGCGCGTTCACGCTCAGGCATAGCCCGTAGCATTTGCTATCCGTAGCTTTAGCAGCAGAGAGAGAGGCAGTGCCACTTTGTCTCTGTTCCTAACGCCTAGTGACAAAGCTAGCTACATTTCTGAGGACCCTTAGCTACTTTCTGTAGAACTTTCTTCTAGATATTTCCTGCAAATTAGCAACAAAATAGCCATTTTCACTCCGAACCGTTCTTTGGTTTGACGTTGTTTCAGCTGTCATCAAGGATATAAATGTTACAGATACTGTGAATGTTACTAGAGTGTAGCTCACCTTGTAAGATGTCTGACTCTCATGCAGAAGACCTGGGTTTGATTCTGGATGTGAACATAGTTCATTTAGAGTTTCTTTTTTACATTAATGGTATATTTTTTCACAGTAAGAAGCCCAAATTTTTATTTGAGACTCGCCGAACGGCATTGAATTCACAGATAAAAAAGATGTGGGTTCAACTTTTTTCAAGCAAGGGAAGGGAATGATCTGAGCATGCAGGAGGACTGACCCATCATAAACCTTTGTCGGCTGTGCTGAAGAGAAAGGTACAGAACCACAGTATTTAATTAATTAGCTGCGTGTTCTCCTGTCCTCTGTCCTCCGGGCCACGCGCACACACACACACACACACACACACACACACACACACACACACACACACACACACACACACACACACACACACACACACACACACACACACACACACACACACGGGACTGTCTCAGCTGTTATTTTCATTAAGGAGTGTGCACGTACAGCATGTGCGCCTCGTGCACGAGCCTACTATTGAAGCTGCCGTTACGCTTTTGGCCTGAGGGGGCGATCGCGAGCATAAAAATTCAAAAGTCCGTAAAGTCCCTTTAAAGTTACCTCTGTTTTGGTTTTTAGACATTTATCACCTTTGTTGTGTTTTAAAACACCTTCAGTTTTGGTTAAACTTTTAACAAAGTTTTAACCAGGTGTTTTAATTGTTAAGTTCTCTTTAACCGTTAACTTTATGGAGAATTTTTTCGTTTTGCATTATTTTAATAATGCTCTCCATCTGTTTGCTCACCTGTTTTAAACCCTTTTATGTCAACTGAACCCATTTTTAATCCACTGTCATGTTCGTTACCCCCTTCCTTCACATTTTTACAACACATGCCGGGGTTGTAACAATTGCTACTTTATTTGTTTTCAATTTAAAAAAAAACTGTACGTTTCCAAATATTTAACTAAAATTTTACAAACAAAGATTTCAGAAAAATACATTTGTTATTTCAAATTTTATTTAAAAATGTTTTATTCTTTAATTCACCCGTTGCTGTGCTCAAAAAAACTATGGAGATAAAAATGTTCTTAAAGGATGAGCAGCAGAAATATGCATGTATTAAAATCTGATATTTGTTTACTCATTAATTGTTTTGTTTTTATTTTGTTTCACAATTATGTCTTGAATAAATAAGATCAATTTATGGTTTTAGTCAACATTATTATGATTTATTAACACTGGATTTTACTGGGGGGGGGGGGGGGGCAGCAATTTTTTAGGGGTGGCCCTGGCCCCCCCTTGGGGGTGCCATTGCTGATCAAGCTCAGTGTGTCACGTCTAAAACGGTCCTGGTGGAAACAGATATAATCTCATGTTTTGTCTTCTGGCAGTTGGAATGTAAAAATTCTACGATTATTTTAATTTAACATTTTTCTTTTACACGGTCAGTGTTTGAAACCAGTTTCCTATCGTTCTGGTGGTTTTTGTGTCTAACCCGTGCACCGTGTTGCAGGTGGAGCTGCTCCGCGTCAAGCGAGGAGCTCGTTTTTACAGAGGTGAGCCTGACAGGACGCCAGCTAGACGGACGCTTTTGATTGTTCAGTTCAAGAAGTCTTCACCTTCGTTTGACGCATCCTGTGAGCCTCGACATTCTTCTGTTCTCATCTCTAACACCACTACCACCATCACCGCCTGTTAATTCTCATGTGTTTGTGCTCATCCTTGTTGTTGTAATCTAACGTGTTCATGTTTTTATCACCTCCTTGTGTTTGTGTGTTTTCTCAGTACGTTGTGTGGACAGCGAGACGTCGGCAGTGCGTAGTTTTGGTGACACGTGGATGCGGTGGAAGGGTCAGCGTGTGGAGTTTTGTCGTTGTGCTTTAGGAGGAAGAGATGTTTGTCATGTTGTCCCTGTCATCAGTGAGTGTGATGTGAATGAAGGAACACAGAAACACAAGCAGAGGCCCTCACTGACCCATCTGCCTTTCATTATAACTTTTTTCTTTTTGCCTCTAAGTTTCAGTCAGATGATTATTTTTCATTGGTCGTGTGTTCGGATCCCTGCTATTTCAGTGCATCCAAGTGAAAAGCTGCTGGGTTTTCCATGCATCCTCCGAGGGTGTAGTTTAGTCTGAGATTATTTGAAATACTCCTGCCAGACCAGCCCTTGTGCGCACTTTCACCCTCATTGGCGGATTCTGTGAAGCACGATTTACCCTCCGTCATACAAATAGCAACCACATTTTGTTGTAACACCACTAGAAATGAAGGGGGTGCTGTTATTCCTTGAGCATAAAAAATAAAATAATAAACAGTTAAAGGACCGGTGAATTTAACTAAAGATGTCTGCACCAGATGGAAATCCTTGCCTCTGAGTGATGACCACAGTGTGGTGACGTTTAGGGGCGTCGCACACGCAGACTTTGACCCATCAGTCATTCTCCTACTGTAGATGACGTGTGGCTGACCAAACGACTCTTGTCGTCTTTTTCCAGACTGCTACGTGTCTCAGTGCTACAACGGAGGAACCTGTAAGGAGGCCGTCTACTCATCAGACTACATTTGTCAGTGTCCCTCCGGCTTCAGCGGGGCTCAGTGTGAGATCAGTAAGTACCAGTGCAGGCGTCATCATAAAACAGCCGATGAATTATTAAAGGGGCATTATGGAAGTGTGACAGCCAAAACATGTATAGAAATAATAAATGTCTTCTTCATACATTCTCCTGCAATGCCCTGGTCCTGTAGAATGAGCCCTGGCATTTTTACTGTGATTGCCTGTTTTTCTGTAAAATCACAGAAAAAGAGAGATGCTCGGGTCGAGCAGGCTGCTTCATGCGCGTTCACGCTCAGGCATCGCCCGTAGCATTTGCTATCCGTAGCTTTAGCAGCAGAGAGAGAGGCAGTGCCACTTTGTCGCTGTTCCTAACGCCTAGTGACAAAGCTAGCTACATTTCTGAGGACCCTTAGCTACTTTCTGTAGAACTTTCTTCTAGATATTTCCTGCTAATTAGCAACAGAATAGCCATTTTCACTCCGAACCGTTCTTTGGTTTGACGTTGTTTCAGCTGTCATCAAGGATATAAAAGTTACAGATACTGTGAATGTTACTAGAGTGTAGCTCACCTTGTAAGATGTCTGACTCTCATGCAGAAGACCTGGGTTTGATTCTGGATGTGAACATAGTTTATTTAGAGTTTTTTTTTTTTACATTAATGGTATATTTTTTACAGTAAGATGGCCAAATTTTTATTTGAGACTCGCCGAACGGCATTGAATTCACAGATAAAAAAGATGTGGGTTCAACTTTCATTTTGGAACAATTTTTCAAGCAAGGGAAGGGAATGATCTGAGCATGCTGGAGGACTGACCCATCATAAACCTTTGTCGGCTGTGCTGAAGAGAAAGGTACAGAACCACATTATTTAATTCATTAGCTGCGTGTTCTCCTGCCCTCTGTCCTCCGGGCCACACACACACACACACACACACACACACACACACACACACACACACACACACACACACACACACACACACACACACACACACACACACACACACACACACACACACACACACACAGGACTGTCTCAGCTGTTATTTTCGTTAAGGAGTGTGCACGTACAGCATGCGCGCCTCGTGCACGAGCCTACTATTGAAGCTGCCATTACGCTTTTGGCCTGAGGGGGCAATCACGAGCATAAAAATTCTAAAGTCCGTAAAGTCCCTTTAAAATCTGCTCATTTCTGTGTTTATGGAACAAATAAAGCTAATAAAGTGTCCAAGAAACGTGCAAAACAACAGATATGAAATCTCGTCAGGCTTTTTGAGGCGTAACAGTTGCAACCTGGCCGTTACACTTGGTATAACACTAGAATATCCTTTTTATTTTGGAGCAGCAGCAAATCCAGCCTCGTCTATAAAAGTCACAGCTTGACAGGATTTATTTAAACTTGTTTGTGACCCTCGATAAAGTCACAGTCTGGCGGTGTGACGCCGCAGCTGGTGTCATGAGGTTGTGGTCTAAAGAAGGGAGAGAAAAAGAATCGGAACCATGGAAAAACTTTCTGGGATGTGAATGTTTTTGTTTCTGTGGTTTAATGGGACACCCCACCCTGGGATAATTATCCAAAGCAAAGCCGTCACATCCAAGTGATTTAGGCAAAAAACAGTTAATACAACCATTTAGTCTTTGGTCACAGTTTCAAACCACTAATAGGAAAACTACTCAATTAAAACAAAAGTTGGAATTTTGGCTGTCATATAAAAAATATAGTAGTCTTTTCATAATTTAGCCATCTCTGTGTCCAAATACATTAAATAAATCAGAAATTAGGAGGATGTCCAGCTTGTGTCTACCCTTTGTCGCCGATTCTGTTCATAACTTTAATGGACAGGACTTCAGGTGCAGCCAAGGCGTTGAGGGGATCCGTTTTAGTGGCCTGAGGATCAGATCTCTGCGTTTTGCATATCACGTGGTCCTGTTGGCTTCATCAGACCTTGATCTCCGGGTTTCACTGGATCAGTTTGCCCCAGAGAGTGTGAAGCAGCTGGGATGAGAATCAGCTCCTCTAAATCCGAGACCATCGTCTTGTCTCCGGGTCAGGGATGAGGTCCTGACTCAAGTGGAGGAGGTTGAGTGTATCGGGGTCTTGTTCACAAGTGAGGGAAAGCTGGAGCAAGGAATCGACAGGCGGACTGGTGCTGCGTCTGCAGTGATGCCGGAGTTGTACCGGTCTGTCGTGGTGAAGAGAGAGCTGAGCTGAAAGGCAAAGTTCTCAATTTACGGGGCGACGGTGGCACAGGAGTTAAGTGCTCGCCCCGCAATCAGAAGGTTGCAGGTTCGAGTCCCGCTCAGTCTGTCGCTGTCGTTGTGTCCTTGGGCAAGACACTTAACCCACGTCGCCTGCTGGTGGTGGTCGGAGGGACCGGTGGCGCCAGTGCTCGGCAGCCTCGCCTCTGTCAGTGCGCCCCAGGGCAGCTGTGGCTACATCGTAGCTCATCCCCACCAGCGTGTGAATGTGTGTGTGAATGGGTGAATGACTGATTGTATTGTAAAGCGCCTTGGGGGGTTCCAGGACTCTAGAAGGTGCTATATCAAATACAGGCCATTTACCGGTTGATCTACGTTCCTACCCTCACCTGTGGTCACGGTTTTGGGCAGTGACCGTAAGAATGAGATCACGGATACAAGCGGCCGAAATTAGTTTTCTCTGCTGGGTGGCTGGGCTCTTCCTTAGAGATAAGGTGAGAAGCTTGGCCATCTGGGAGGGGCTCGGAGTAGACCCGCTGCTCCTCCACGTCGAGAGGAGCCAGTTGAGGTGGCTCGGGCATCTGGTCAGGATGCCTCCTGGACGCCTCCCTGGTGAGGTTGAAGGAACTTTGTCTCTCAGCTGGCCAGGAAACACCTCGAGATGACCCGGAGGAGCTGGTCCATGTGGTTGTGGAGAGAGGCGTACGGGCCTCTCTGCTTAGGCTGCTGTCCCCGCGACCCGACCCCGGATAAACGGATAAAAATAGATGGATGGATGGTCCAGCTTGTGTTAAATCCAGGTCCTGGTTTTCCAACAGATACCAGTGAGAAGTGTGTTGTGGGGAAGGGGGAAGGCTACCGCGGCACACAGAGCATCAGCCAGACGGGATCAGACTGCATCAACTGGAACTCAACGTCTCTGAGAGGAAGAAGGTTCACGGCTCGAAAATCAGATGCCAGCAGCCTCGGGCTGGGGAATCACAACTTCTGCAGGTTAGCCAACGGGAACGGATGTAGAAAACCTAAACTGTAAAGTTTAGTCCAAGTGTTACACCATGAGATACAAGGTGCAGGTCTGGTGTGGAGACATTTGGTTTGAATTTTTGACTGATGTGGTTGAGATTCTGCAAATCAAAATTTATTTTTAAAATTTATCCAAAAATCTGTCTTGAGACCATTTCATCCATCTAAGTGTTTCCTCATTGATTGTCACATTTTATTTTAACACAATTAGGTGATTTGTTATTTAGAGTTGTTCACATTGTTGTAAGTCTATCGTAGGATTTCGTTTAGCAAGACATAAACCTAAAGTTTCTGTCTGCACATGTAAGCTTCAAACTCTGCTTTGTTGATTGGGTTTCATATAAAACACCCTATTTGGGTCTTTTAATGACCAGCGAGACGTGACAGACGGCTGCTCACACTGAGCTAGGATCCTCTGGAGGTTTCTTCCTGTTCAAAGGGAGTTTTCCTCTCCGCTATCGCTACATGCTTGCTTAGTATGGAGATTGCTGTAAAGACTCTGACACAATGAGGGTTTTCTATAGGAAACTTGTAACTAACTGGAATAATGAACTGAACTGATAAGCAGGTTCAGTTGGAGTATTTACCTTGTAAAGTGCCTTGAGATGAATTGTGTTGTGATTTGACGCTATTTAAATAAACTTAATTGAATTGGACTTTTGAAAAAATGTCAAATTTAATTTTGTTATATTTTTACGTTTGGAAATTAATCAGTTATTTTTCCAGAAAAGAAGGCAACAAACCATGATGCAACCACCGCCGTGTTTTACAATCTTAATTTTCTAAATGGAAAATAGTAAAATATTTACACATAAAACGTCAAGTAGCACAGCACACACTGTCTAACAATGTTATTAATTATTTTTCCAATTAGTTTTTCATCATAAATCCTAGAGAACATCTGTTTTAGTGCAGACTAACAGATTGAGTTGTGAAGCTTCTGATTTTGATCTTCAGGAATCCCGACCGGGACAGCTCTCCCTGGTGTTACATCTATAAAGGCACTGAGATTGTGTGGGACTTCTGTTCCTTACCTAAATGTCCAAAAGGTAGAAAAGAAAAACTAAATATACTCGGTCCGAAGCTGAAGCACTCTTAATAAAACACTTCTTTTGTGTGTGTTTTTAACAGTTAGGAACACCGAGTGTGTTGTGGATTCTGGTCAGTCATACAGAGGAACAACGTCCGTCACCAAAAGCGGCGCTCTCTGTCTCCCGTGGGATTCTCCAGCTATCAGACGTAAGGTCAACAATGCTTGGAGATCAAATGCTGCGGAGCTGGGACTCAGCAATCATAATTTCTGCAGGTACCGATGCCAGTGGTTTCATATGTGAAAAAAGGCCTTGATGGACAGAAAGATACTTAAAGCTCAGGGTTTTCCAACAGGAATCCAGATGGTGATGCAGCTCCATGGTGCCACACCTACAAAAACATGGTTCTGACCTGGGAACTGTGCGACATTCCCAAATGCTGTGAGTTCCCTTATTTTCATGCCTCTATTGTTGATCTATACCAAAGTGCAATGGGGATAACCTTTAATTCTCCATCATCCAGCAAGACGTCCGTCGGTCATCTCCACTCTCGGCCCACGTGCTCCCACCACTAACAGCAACAACAAAGGTACTCCAGAGCCTCTTCAAACCCCCCAAAACAGGTTCTTCTACGTCAGTTTTCATTTTTAGTAAGTATTTAACCTGCAATCTGCCCCCCTGCAGAGACGTGCGGCCAGCGTTTTGACAACTCTCTGAATCGGCCAGCGTTCCGCATGTTTGGAGGCAGAGACAGTGACATCGCGGAGCAGCCGTGGCAGGCTGCCATCGGTTTTTACAATGCCCGTCACAGAAAGCACTTCCATCGCTGTGGAGGAGTCCTCATCAGCTCCTGCTGGGTCCTGTCTGCAGCACACTGCTTCGAAATCACGTAGGAACTCACCTTTATGCAAAGATCCATACCAGTGGTAAAAATTGTTCTCGGTGGGGCTACGTGTGAAAAATATTTCCTACTTGGTACGTTGTAAACATTCAAATGAACAGTTGTAAAATTACCACAATTTAATTTCCCTTCTCCAAATCAGCAGTCCATTAACTAATTTACAGATGAATTAGACGATTAGGAAATTAAAATCAAAACACATTCATGAGAGCAACTGTAGTCCATAATATCCATTTTTGTACTTATTAACATTTTATTTCAACATTAGTTTGTTTTCCAGCTAGAGGTTTTACTCTCTGTGTCTGAATTAAGTTGCTCAAAGCGTGCAAACCTCAACGCGTAACACTTGGTGTCACCAGTAGGTGGCACTAACCCGACATAGAATTGAATTAGATATCCTGTTTTTTTACATTATAATCACAGAAAATCAGACAAACACATTTTACTACAACAGCTACAGTTTCAGCTAAATCTACAAAAACCAGCAGTGAGTGTGTGTGAATGATGGATCCAGAGGGAGAGGGGAAAAGGAGATCCACCCAGCGTGCTAGCTAGCTATTTCCTGTAGCAAGGACACTATCGGCCAGCGCCCCAGAGACAATAAATTCAGTGATGCTGATTGGCCAAAAATTCACCAGTTCTCCCTAGCAACTAAACATGATTGGCTTTTGGGCTGCAGTTAAGGGGCGCTTTTTCTAGTGCTCCAGAAGTATTATTAGTGAGTCTATTGAAGAAATTTCACTGTTTAATGAGAGACAACTGGTGAAATTTATTAGTAAGCAATTCGGATTGTAGTATGTAGGCACATACAATTAAGCAAAACTTGCACATTTATCGTGAAAATATGTAAATATATTGTAGATTAAAAAAAAAAACTTTTAGATTTTTTTTGTCTGGGAAGGCGATTTGTAGCGCCCCCTATGGATGAGCCCCCACTGACGCACACACAGTTTTGTTTTGTGCTACACGTCCTGAAGTTTTTTTTTCTTTTTCAGTGACAAACCAGAAAATTTTCAAGTGATTTTGGGAAGAACGTTTCGAAACCAGTCTTCAAGCAGTGAGCAGATCTTCAGTGTTGAGAACTACTGGATTCATGAGAAGTTTGACAATGAAACCTTCGACAACGACATTGGTGAGAAGGATTTTCATTTCTTTCTTTTTTTTATTGCAGTTTACAAAACTTTTCTGAAGAGGTTTGATGATTCAGTGATGCAGACGTTTGAGTTGACAATAAAAACGTAATGAGAGACTTGGATGTTTTTACAAAGCGGTGGTGATATGGAAAGCTCCAGCAGGCAGGGGAGGCTCATTAAGTATTTTATTCAGCCCACAGCGCATTACACTGACTTTCCTGTGGTCACTTTCCACTTGCAGTTATTTTAAAGCTGAAGTCGGACATTGGCATATGTGCCGTGAACTCTCCAGAGGTTCTTCCAGCGTGTCTGCCTGAGCGTGGGCTGATGCTGCCCGACTGGACCGAGTGCGAGATCTCTGGATATGGAAAAGATGCAGAATGTAAGCCAGCACTAGCATGCAGGAGTTTATGAACCAGCAGAGGGCAGCACGGACACACACTCGCACAGGTCGAGCAGATTTTAGAGGCTGAATTTGTAAAACTTTCTCCAGTTTCTGCAGAGTTCTCAGAGCGAGTGAAAAGAGGACACGTCCGCCTGTGGCCCAGAGAGCGCTGTGTTCCCGAGGTTCTGTCTGGACGCACGGTCACCTCCAACATGCTGTGCGCAGGTGACACTCGAGGGCTTGATGATGCCTGCAAGGTGAGACTGATTAACTTTCCCATCAAATATAAATAAAATATAAGATGAATTTATAATTTTGTTTCTTCATCTCCACCTGCAGGGTGACTCCGGAGGCCCTTTAGTCTGTCGACACAAAGACAGGATGACTCTGATGGGCGTGATCAGCTGGGGCGATGGGTGTGGACAGAAGGACAAACCAGGGGTTTACACAAAGGTCACACACTACATTGACTGGATCAACAACAAAATTACTTCAAATCCTTTTTAAAATAAAAAAGATGAAAAAAAAAAGTTCCCGGATGACCCACAAACTCTGTGGGTGGACAGCAGCGTTTGTCATGACGGCTGTCCCGAGTGCTGCTTCTTCTTGTGGATCTGGATCCAAACCCATGGAGGTTTGAAGTCAGCAGGACTGAAGGCTGGAGGTTTAGTGTTAGTTTAGTGGTTTGAATGAACCATAAATAAAGCAGATTTAGAGAATTAGTTCTCTTTTTCTGAGCCATCTACATGGACGTAATTTTGGGGGGGACAGGGGGGACATGTCCCCCCCACTTTTTCCAAAGTCAAGTTTTGAGCCCTACACTTTTTACCATCCAAAAACAACATTACGCTATTTTAAATTGACACTGGTTGAGCTCTAGGACCAGACATTACTTGTCTTTGTGTGTGTGTGTGTGTGTGTGTGTGTGTGTGTGTGTGTGTGTGTGTGTGTCTCTGCTCTGTCTTCTCCATCCCCAGTGAGTCGTGGAGGATGGCTGCTTATACTGAGCCATGATTCTCTGGAGGTTTCTTCCTGTTAAAAGGGAGTTTTCCTCTCCACTGTCGCTGCATGCTTGCTTAGAATGAGGATTGCATCAAGTCACTGACACTAGTCACACACAAAGACGTGTCAGTGACTTGATGCAATTTGCTGGGTTCCTTATATAGGAAACATTATTTCTGATTGGCTTAATGAACTGTGAATTGGAATGTTTATTATGTGAAGTGTCTTGAGACGACTCTTGTCGTGATTTGGCGCTATATAAATAAACTTGAATTGAATTGAATTGAAGCGGAAAACAACCGTTTGTGTTGAAGCCTGTTTCCCATTAGAGTATACTATAAAGATCCCCCCCCCCCACTTCTAAATTGAAAATTACGTCCATGGCCATCTATATCATATTTCTACATTTGAATACCTACAGAGGTTTGTTGCCTCTAAGTAACTAGACATGGGTTCTGTAACAGATCAGCAACACGTTTACTCCAACAGAACCCTCCCTCACCCAAAACAATCCCGTTGCATTTTACAGTAACTCGTCGGAGGAGGAGGAAAGTGAGGTTTGAAAAGAAATCCGGGCCAAGATGAAGTCCAGAACCAATCTGCTGGTTCAGATTCTGCAGGTTTATGTCCTTTTTATTTTGGTAAACGGACGTGGAAGCAGGACGGAGGAGATCCTCACGCTGTTTTACAAACCTGAGAATGGGTTTTGTATCAGAAGCTTTCTCCGACAATCACGCGGGTTGACCCCAGCTGTCACTTGTACATATGTGATTATTAATTTTTTATGACATTTTTTAAATAAATGAACTTCAGTTGAACGTTGAACTGCTGAAACGATGTGTGACGACTAACTTTGTGCATCATAGCTTTGTAATTTATTTTATAAATAAAAGCCTCACCTGATAAAATACTAACTTTTCAATGACTGTTGTTTGGTTTTTAAAGGCTTGTGAAAGTTTCTGCACAAAAACTTTAGAATTTTCTGACACGTTATTTTCTACCTGGAACTGCTTTTGTTGTTTGTTGTTTTTGTGGGGAAATAAACAAGCATTTTAAAGCATTGAGTGAAAATCTTTCATTCTGATTTATGACGACTAATTTCATTAGTCATCCTATAACAGTAATTTAGTGTTTGCCTGAGTGAATAATAGATAGCTAACTAGATAAACGCCTTTTGTTGTTGTCTGACGTTTTACGCTCTCCTGTTGCAGCTTTAGGAAACATTCAGGCAGGCTGGTCAGCAAAAAGGAACCACACTAAATCATCGCCACAAAAACTCTTTTGCATATTTAACCGTGCTTGCACACACAACGTTCTCCTGCAGCTTTTTTGTCTGTCTGGAATTTTAAATCCCTTGCCAACCATTATTCCTGGTTGTTCCGGTCTCAGCGTTCATCTGCTACACCTTGGACTACATCTGAAGCACCTTCCATGCCGTCTGCTGTGATCAAAGTTTCTTTTGGTCTTTCATCGTCTATTTCCGTCCTCTCATTTGAGGTTGGATCACGGAGGTGGCATTTTCAGGAACAGCAGCATCCTCAGGCCAGAGTGACTAGATAATTCATCTTTGCAGTTCTGGGATTTCCTCCTGGTGGAATGTGCTCGGGAAAACCTAGTAAGGAAGTAAACTAGGAGGCTTCCTTGTCAGAACCACAACATACTATCTCTTGGTCCTCAAGGGCTGCTATCCAGCAAGTTTTAGCTGTTATGCTTCTTCTGCAGAGCTTGATGACCTGCAGAACAGGTGATTCAACCATTAAATTGTGTGTGCTGGAGCAGGGGAATGACTAAACCATGTTGGACAGTGGCCATCAAGGACTTGAGCTGCTCACCCCTGGTTTAGAACCAAGGCCCGACTCATCCAGGTCGCTTTCCACTCGGATGAGATCTTCCTGATTTCACGTTCAGACAGCAAAAGAACCACATCTTCACCTTTAGGTTTACACTCCAGACGCCATCCTCTCCACCGTTACGAGTTCCTGTCCTAACCTAAACAGGAAGAGGGACAATGGGAAGTCCCGGTGGAGTCTGACCCACACTGGCAAGACGTTCTTCTTTTGGTTATAGAGCCAGAGTCTGTCATGTTCTGTGTCCCTTTGTTCCCCAGCCCCTCCAGTTCCCACTCCAGGTTCTCCTTTTGTGTTTCATAGCACCCTCATGTGTCCTTTGTCTCATTTCTGTGTCTCCTGTGTTCCTTTAGTCTTCTCCAGTCACCCCTCTGCAGTGTTTATAGTTTCAGCTTTTCATGTTATTAGTCTCTTTTATATGTTTTGTCCCACCGGTCTTTGTAGTTCTCCTTCCCTTTAGAATTTTAGTTAGATGGTTGCTTTTCTGTTTTTAGGTTCACTCTTAGGTCATGTTAGTTTCTTCCCTGATTAGTCATTGCTTTCACCTGGTCCTCCCCTCCCCCCCCCCCCACACCCCACACACCTGCAGCTCATCTGCCTCCCATTATGCCCCAGTGTATTTAAGCCCTGTCTTGTCTCTGTGTCTTGTCGGTCCATTGCTGCTGTTTGTGGTAATTCTGTCAGTCTCTCTTTCCAAGTCTCTAGTGCTTCAGTTGGATCTCTAGTTTATTTTGGATTTTGGACATTTATGGACTTTGGCGCCCTGCCCCTGGATTTATTCTTCGTTTCATCCTTCAACATTAAAGGATTTTACTTTACATTGTCTCCTGCCTCGTGTCATCCTGGGTTTCTGCACTTTGGGTTCTAACATCCCTCCAAAACGTGACAGAGTCAGGGGACACTTATGTTAATCCTTCTCCAGTTCCACAAATCACACATGAACCGGACAACCCGACGCTCTTGGCCTCCTTAAGCTGGAGATCTGCTCCTCTGCTCCATGACTCAGATGAAGGCTGCACTGCTCCTCCTGAATCCAAAGGTTTACAATCTTTCACTTCCGCTTTCCGCCTCTGAAACACCCCACAGAGGGAGAATCTCATCACCAGTTAGACCCGGATACTTCTAAAGGTTCTTCATTAGGCAGGTTGCTGTAAGAACCTCAAACACCCGTCAGAATTAAAGATCAAGTTGCAACAAGGTCCACACACGACTTCTGATGTAAAAGTCCAGTTCTGCCTCTCAGTAGCTTCCATTTTTAAACTCTACATCACAAGCAGCATGAATCATTATTGCTTTTTTCTTCGGAAAGCTAAATATCGGAAGTAGAAAGTTGCTGTCAGACGGGGTATGACAGTGCACCAGTCAGCAAAAATGTTAAAAACGCTCTTGGAAATAAACAAATACATGCAAATAGAATAAAACTAACCGATGAGTTATAATCATAAAGCCAGACTGGTCTAGTTAACTATTGATGAGACAGTTTCTGTCACCCTCACCACTTTCTCTCTACCTTTAACTTACGTGGAGTAGATTACGACCTTTCGCCATAGTGACAAGTTATTTTTCTGATGGCAAAACCTAAACAGGAAATGCTTTTTCAGATCTTTAGCTGTAATGTGCAACAACACAGTTCAGCTGTGGGTAAATTTGGGTTTTGTTCCTGCAGATCATTAGAGGAGGGCTGTCTGACAGCTGGCGAGGCTGACCGTCTGTCTGTCACAAGCAGGAAATGCAAACGATGCGGGAGAGCGCCGTTTCCCATTCTCACTCTGTCGCATGCATTCAGTCTCCTCACAGCCATTTGCATCCAAGGACCGAAGCAGCAGCGTTTTCTCATGACTGCGAGACTCGACCTCAAACGATGACGATGGTAACGTGTCAAAGTTCATTTGTACTGGGAGTGATTTGGTTCAGACTCGGTTCATGTAGTTTAGAATGAGAAGGAAGTGAGCAGATGCTGTTATGACCCTCTGTGACGCTTGGCATCACTTTTTTATGTGTAATAATTCTGGTGGCTGTTGGTCTGAGTGTGAGGAGCGTGAAGGCGAGTAAACGTCTCACCTGCAGGAATCAGTCGTGAGTGAGGGACGAGCAGAATTAACCTTTGCTTAACTGTTTGTTTCAGTGTTTTTTAAATTTAATTTAAAGTAGTTCTGAAACAAAAACAGAAACAATCCGGCTGAGTTTGAAATAACCTTTGTGTTTTTAAGCGAGGTGTGTTTTCCTCTCACCCACTGAGCTGTTTTCATATCAGGCAGGTGTGATAACACGGGAACAGTCATTTTATTGTGTGAGCAGGAGGAGAATATTTGAATGATGCATCCTCATTTGTATCGGATTTCACTCCGTGGATGGATCAGCTTGTCCGTTTCCCTGCAGCTCAGACGCAGGTCTCCTAAACTCCTCTCAGGGAGCAGCAGGGCATCACAGCTGTCACTAATAGCTGCTTTTGTGAGGAAAAGGTCACAGATGTAGTTCTTTTTTTATAGCTTGCTGCTCGTCAGGCAGCCCAGCAGCGGCGAACAGAGCCTTTCCCTCTACCTTTAAACCTGTTTGTGATGGTCTCGGATACTTCCTCTACTGACTGGCACTGTTTAAAAAAAAACTCTACTTCCTGATTTCACTTGATGTGTGTGTGTGTGTGTGTGTGTGTGTGTGTGCGTGTGTGTGTGTGTGTGTGTGTGTGTGTGTGTGTGTGTTAATCTCCTCCTTCCCGTGGCCTCGGTTGTCACACACACTGCTCATGAACTTTTTTTGGTTTAATTTGATAATTTTACTTGCACAACAACATGATGCAAACATGAAGTGAGTGAGAAGAGAGAACACATCACTAACAGTAAGACTCTAGTTCATTCAGCTGCGTTTTAATGGAGTTTTGCTGGTTTTTGTGCAAACCAGATTAAATGTTGTGATCATTAGTTTTCAATTTCATCCAGAAAGCTACTTTAAATGTCACTGCTGGATCACATTCTTCACACGTACAGTTTTTTAGGGATTAGGTTCATCTCGTAATCATGTGTTAGTTGTCGTCATCGTCGTCTTCCTCCGCTTATCCGGGTCCGGGTCGCGGGGGAAGCATCCCAACTAGGGAGCTCCAGGCTGTCCTCTCCCCGGCCACCTCCACCAGCTCCTCCGGCAGGACCCCAAGGCGTTCCCGGACCAGATTGGAGATGTAACCTCTCCAACGTGTCCTGGGTCGACCCGGGGGCCTCCTGCCAGCAGGACATGCCCGAAACACCTCCCCAGGGAGGCGTCCAGGAGGCATCCTGACCAGATGCCCAAACCACCTCAACTGACTCCTTTCGATCCGGAGGAGCAGCGGTTCTACTCCGAGTCCCTCCCGAATGTCCGAGCTCCTCACCCTATCTCTAAGGCTGAGCCCGGCCACCCTACGGAGGAAACTCATTTGGGCCGCTTGTATCCGCGATCTCGTTCTTTCGGTCATTACCCAAAGCTCATGACCGTAGGTGAGGATTGGGACGTAGATCGACGGATAAATCGAGAGCTTCGCCTTCTGACTCAGCTCTCTCTTCACCACGACAGATCGGCTCAGCATCCGCATCACTGCAGACGCCGAACCAATCCGCCTGTCGATCTCCCGATCCCTCCTACCCTCACTCGTGAACAAGACCCCGAGATACTTAAACTCCTCCACTTGAGGTAGGACCTCTCTCCCGACCCGGAGTTGGCAAGCCACCCTTTTCCGGTCGAGAACCATGGTCTCAGATTTGGAGGTGCTGATCCTCATCCCAGCCACTTCACTCTCAGCCGCGAACCTACCCAGCAAGAGCTGAAGGTCAGAGCTGGATGAAGCTAGGAGGACCACATCATCCGCAAAAAGCAGAGACGAGATTCTCCTGCCACCAAACTCGACACACTCCACACCACGGCTGCGCCTAGAAATCCTGTCCATAAAGGTAATGAACAGAACCGGTGACAAAGGGCAGCCCGGGCGGAGTCCAACCCTCACCGGGAACAGGTCCGACTTACTACCGGCTATGCGGACCAAACTCACGCTCCTCTGGTAAAGGGACTGAATGGCCCTTAACAGAAAGCCACCCACCCCATACTCCTGGAGCGTCCCCCACAGGGTGCCCCTGTTTAAATATGTAAACAAATTGGTAACTTAAGTCTTTGAATTTTAATCTTGTAAATCCAAAATGCCCAAAAAATCTGCATTTCTTTATTAGATTTATTCTCCAAATTACAGTTTTGTTTTTGCACATCAAGAAAATTTTAAGGGGAAAAAATTATATATTTTGTATCTCCACTGTATCTATAAACACCCCGGATGTGACATAAAACCAGTTCATTCTTTTTATGTCACTGTTTGGTTTTAGGGGTTATTTGTCTAAAACATGTTTATTTTTGTTCCTTGTATCAGAAAATGGCACAAGTAGGCAGGAATTCCTTTTCCAAGCTTTGTTCGATCCATCTGAACTCTTCTAAGCCCCTCTTCTTTCTATTTCACCTACATTCTCCTATCCAATACTGCCCCCTAGTGGAAGACTCAACAAAGTTGTTTCAAAACGCACCCGTTTGTGATGTCACAAATGAGGAAATTAGCGTTGAATTATTTCTCACTTCTCCATGCTGGAGGATCAGCAGCTCTATTCCAAGTCCCTCCTGGATTTTGGAGCTTCTTAGCTCATAGCAGCCAATCAGGGGGTGGGTGGGTGTGGCCAGCTTCAGCCTGACAGAGCCCTGAAATGGCTCATTCTGAAAGGTACTGAAAATGTCAAGAATAAAACCGCTGAGATCGCTTTATATTAGAGGGGTTTTGTGCAAAGAACTTCATAAACATGTCTTGTATTGACAATACAACTTTTATAACTTAAGGGGGAAGTTCACTGTGAAATAAATAATACTTGATATTTTCAAGTACTCTGATTTTTATTTGCAGGCTGAATGTGAAGCTAGTCTTCTGCCCCTATTCCCTGCACTAGTCACAGAAAGAAGATAGACAGGGCCACAGTTGGGTCGGTAAAAGCCACGCAGATCTACATCACAATGCTGTAAATTAGCATTCATGGACTCACCCATCTTGACTCAAGACTGGGTACAGCTGTGCTGAGAGAAAGCAGAGCTAACCATTAGCGTTAGCGACTCCACAGCACGGCAGAACTCCCTCAGGCTTTTGTTATTTGTGGAGATAAAACATCAGTGTGTCAGAGTGAACAGAGGCAGTGGAAGAGTTGTGTAGCTGTTAGCCAATCAGAGGCGAGATTTTACCAACTCCTACTTCCTTAAACCAAAACTTTGTTTTCCCACAGAGATCCACTCATGTGACGTTCATTTATACTCGACCACAGCAGATTTATTGGAAAAACTAGTCGTGAGAAGTCTCATTTAACATGAGAACTCGTGATAAAGTCGTCGGTGTTCAGCACGAAGGCACGTTTATCAAACTCTTTTTTGTGATCCTGCAGAAATATTTCTTTGTGTTTTGACATTTGAAGCCATAATCTGAGATTCCAGGAGAAGTTTTACACAAAAACTGCTCTAAGTGAACTAAACTCAGGTTGGTGTGAGAAATTCCAGCCGTGGATATTTTGTTCTGTAGTTAAACATTTGCAACAAAAGTCTGGTCTAATCACAGAGTGGCCTTGCTCAGAAAGCAGCCTCACTGACGAACGCTGCAGATAAATAACTAAACTTAAATGATTATTAACTCGTCTGTCTGAGAGCTTCAGACCCAAATATCTGAACATGTCCATCCTGGTTTGTTTGCTGTCTCTTTTCTACAAGGCACTCGAGGAGTACAGACGCTTCTCTGTTTCGCTCCCTTATCTTTTTTTTCCCAAGGCTCTTTGTCCTGTCTGCCCACAGAGCGCTTCTCTGCATTTCTTCTGAAAAACTCTATTTTTTTTTTACTAACCATGGATTTGATAAATTGGTCATTCAATGCGATCGATAAGATTTTTTCAACAATGAGAACGGAGCAGGGGGCTCCCACATGTCCACAAGGTACACACCCGGTGGGTTATATGCTGGATTCCTGGAAGGAATGGAAGATCATATGCCTCAGCCAGCTGTCCACTGTGGATGTTGAAGATGCGTGGATATTTGGTCTGATGATCACTGGATTTCTCCTGATTGGAGTGGGAGGATATCTGGTTTTCTGGAAATTTGGGAAGACGGGAGCGATTGGAGGGCGACCCGCACCCACGGAAAGCACCGTCCATGTGGAGACTTCTCAGACTGGGACGTTACTCGAGGTGAATCGTAAGCTGGACAATGTTCTAGCTGCGATACCGGTATTAGTGCTCAACATGGATGTCATCTCGGAGAGTCACCGGACGGTATGGACAGGTTTAAAAACCCAAAATTGGCTTCACTGAAGGACTGGAATGATCAGTTTAAAGACTGAAGGCAGAGAGGAAAATTATCTGAGCCTGACCCAAACAAATTCTTGTTATCTGAATCTGATGCCCTGGTAGCCTTGAGCTGCAAGTAACTAAAACCCTCTTGCTGGGGGAAACAGGACCCCCCCCCCCCCCACACACACACACACACACACACCCCACCCCACCCCCTCCCGCCCTCCTATTGGAGTCTCATGTTATGTTGTGATGTCTGAAGTCTGTTGCATATCTGTCTGAGGTGTTTTTTTGCAGAGCAAAGCTGCCCTCCCGGTGGAGGGTAACTCTGAAGTGCCTTTTTTCCCTCCACCTGAACCAATCCTCATGTAACCCTCTTATCTCTATTAAGGTAGCGCGACTCAGGGTTGCGAATGACCACAGTCACCAATTCTTGTCATGTGTCTTGCCCATGTATGTCTGATCTCTGAATTGTGTGTACTGAAACTCTAATTTCCCTCTGGGATTAATAAAGTATTGATTGATTGATTGATTGATAGATTAACCTCTACTTTTCCATTGTTCTGATGTTTTCAGAGCTTTCTTGGAAAAATGAGGAACCTGTAAGTAAAATCAAACACTCCACATATTGTTCCTGCGTAATGTGCATCAAGCTTCACTCCATCCTGTGTTGTTTCAGGAACAGTGGACCTCCTGCTCCTCCCAGACGCACAGGTGAGGTTTCATTTGAAATGTAAAGAAACCCTGATGTGATTTCTCACGTCCGCCTCTTCAAATATGGCTGTGTGTTCATTTCTGTTTCAGAAATCAGAGCAGGGTTTGAATGGCCACAGGAAGAATTTGTGAGTAGCACAAGAAGGTGGAGTGATTTTGTTTTAGTTCATCCAGTAATAATCATCTTAATTCTCGTTAATTTAGCTTTTTTATTTTGTGTTTTAATCGTTCTTATCAGCTCGCGTGTCTGCATTATTACAAAACAGGATTTCTGGACAATTCCCCCAAAATAAAATCTAATTAGCAAAATATGGTTTTGCTCGCTGTGTTACTAATGATGCTGTTCAGTCATCCATAAATATCACATGAGAAGAATTTGCTTTAGTTTTAAAGAAAACTTTTATTTTTCTGTTGTTGTTGAAATCTTTTCTGAGCAGGACGACGAGGACGGAGACATGTACGAAGTACCTCCTTGTGAGCGTGCTCCTCTTAAAGCGCCCTCAAGCCAAGGACAAGAAAACATTTATTTAGGTAAACTCTTCCTGCTGTTTTATAGTAAAGGTGTCCATTTACACGATTTTCCCTGAAGAAATAGTTGTTTGTTGTTTGTTTTATCAGAAAGGTCGTCCAACCCCACAGCTCAACAGAGGGGGGTCACCCCTATCCCACCCCGACCAGGAAAACCTCCGGTAACAACGAACCCTGACACTTTACCAAAACCGTCGGTTAAAGATTTTTCTAACCTGTTTTGATTAAATAAATTCCAGAAACCTCACAAAGAGGAGCTCTTCAGTGATTCCAACAGCAAAAAACGTGAGGATGAGTCAGTTTTTAACCTTCGATTCCCAACAGTTAATAAGACTGCCCCCTTCCTCCTGTCAGCGCCTGAAATAGACAGAAACGACAAGCCCGGGAGGAAGGTGAGGCCTCCTCCTGCAGCCGCTCCTGCTCCCGCCGCTGTCCCTGCAGCTGAAGATGACGGTAAACATGTTTACATCACATTTGTGACTACGTGCTGGCTGTGAGGAAGCTTTAACACACGTATCTGAAAACTGCATGGCCTGCGTGCTAAATCCGACCACACACAGCTGCTAAAATTACATTTCCCCCAGAAAAACATGACATTCTGCAGTGTCATCGTTTATTAAATTTAGGGAACAGAAGTTTCTTTGTAAAAACGTTTAAAATCAGAAGTGACAAGTGGAAACTGGAACAGAGAAGAGAGCACCACCTACTGAAGTGCCGTTGGGCTAGAGGTTCAGCCATGAGCTCTCCTTTTGTTTGGAAAAAGCTTCAAAATTTCTAAAATCCTTATGTACTTTATTTTAAGTAATGTGTCACACACACACACACACACACACACACACACACACACACACACACACACACAAGTGAAAAGAGAGAATGAGAAAGAGGGAGGATGAGACTGAGATGGAGGGTGATAAGGGAGAGGGGGAAAGATAAAAAGGGAGGAAGAGAGAGAGATGGAGAGAGAGAGGGGGGGGGGAAAGAGAGAGAGAGAGTTGAGGGAGAAAAAGATAAAAAGGGAGGAAGAGAGAGAGAGTGAGGGAGAGGGAGAGAGGGGAAGAGAGAGGGAGAGAGAGAGATGGAAAGAGATGGAGAGAGTTGGATGGAGAAAGAGAGAGAGAGAGGGAGAGAGAGAGAGTTGGATGGAGAGAGGGAGAGAGGGAGAGAGAGAGAGAGAGAGAGAGAGAGAGAGAGAGAGAGAGAGAGAGAGAGAGAGAGAGAGAGAGAGAGAGAGAGAGAGAGAGAGAGAGAGAGAGAGAGAGAGAGAGAGAGAGAGAGAGAGAGAGAGAGAGAGAGAGAGAGAGAGAGAGAGAGAGAGAGAGAGAGGGAGAGAGGGAGAGTTCATTCTGCAACAACATCTTGTTTCCGGTGTTTTCCTTCTTGTGTTGCAGACGTGTATCTGGATCCAAACACAGAACAGGTGAGCCACCAGCTTAGATAATAAATCATAAATGGAGAAGATTTCATGAACAGACGAGGTGATTAAAGTGTTTTAAAGCATTACCAGGTACCTGGATCAGGTAAGCTGAAATATTCACGACTGAAACTGTTCTCAATGTAAAATGATTTTTATTCTAATATTCAGCTAATCCAACACGAGAGATTATTAATCCTGTGCAGGAGGTGTGAGAAGGCACCTGCGAAGGGTCTGCACCTTTTAAAGGGACGTTGGATCATACGAGTTGCTGATTATCTGAAGTTATATCAGACATTTTGTAAAACACACCCACATGACCTACGTAAAAGTCCAAAAGATTACAGATCTCATCACCACAAGGCTAACTGAGCCCCGTTGATCCTGCTATCCTGATCGATGTCCTTATTTTTTATTTCAGGAAGATAATGATGTGTACTTAGAGCCAGAAGCAGGTAATCAGCAGAGTTTGATGCCTCCATCCCTCAGAAAACTCAGCACCACACAAAGATGGCGGGTTAAGATGCATGTTATGTTCTCTTTGCTCTTCAGCTTGCCCTGCTCCCAAACGTGGACCAGCCAGAGCGCCGCCGTTGTCCAAACCGTCTCCCGCTCCTCCCAAACCCACGTGAGTTTACCTCAAACTGAGTCAGCGCAGGTTTTAACCCCTCCCACATTCCCGAGAAGAATAATCCCATTTTTTCTCATCAGACAAAGATCGGTCTTTTATTTTCTGTTTTTGCAACGTGCACACGAGATCGCAATAACAGCAGCACTGACGCAAACATTCGTCTTCTTATAATCTGCAGGATGAAACCTTCACTTCGAGGATCTAGTACAGTAAGTGCATCCCTCTAATGCTCATTAAAATAACGTATGACCAAACAGAAGAATGCATCCATCCATTCGTTTTCTTCCACCTGTCTGGAGTCGGGTCGTGGGGGTAGCAGCATGAGCAGGGAGGCCCAGACTTCCCTCTCCCCAGCCACTTGGGCCTAGCCTAGTGAACTAGACCAAATTCTTGCTTTGCAAAGTTTGGTCCTGGAACGCTCCACTGGAACCTCCGCAGCCCCTAACAGCATTCTGGCTGGCCAATCACAGCTCTCTAGAGGGGTTTCAAACACATAAAGAGCTGTGATTGGTCCATAATGGTGGGCCAGTCATAGTGCTCTATCTGCTTAGTGAACAAATCACAGAGCTTTATCCGCTTAGTGGGCCAATCAGGGCACTCCATGTGCCTGGTGGGTGGGACAATGCAACAGAGTGAAACAAGATGGCGACAGCTCGTTTGAATGGCTTTTACATCCATGTTGGATTATTAGAACTCGGGCTTCATCAGAATCAGGAGCAGATAGATGTATTTAAGAGCTTTTTTAGAAAAAAATATGTTTTCTCCTTCTTCAACTGCGGGCCGCCTCATTTACCGATAGATGTTGCGGTGAGTATGTCACATTCATTGTCCAGTGGCATGCGGAGATCATTTGAAAGACAACGGTAGAACCCGCCCGACAACCGAGAGCCGTCAATGCATTATTTAGTCTGGCTTGCCAGGCTAACTTGGGCCAGCTCTTCCAGGGGAATCCCAAGGCGTTCCCTGGCCAGCCGAGAGACTTCCCTCCAGCGTGTCCTGGGTCTTTCTTTAGGTCTCCTCCCGGTTGAACATGCCTGGAAAATCTCACCAAGGAGGCATCCAGAAGGCATCCCAATCAGATGCCCGAGCCATCTTTACTGGCTCCTCTTGATGTGGAGAAGCAGCGGGTCTATTCCAAGCCCCTCCCAAATGACTAAGCTTCTCAGCCTATCTCTAAGGGACAGCCCAGTCACCCTGCTTGTATCCACAATCTCGTTCTTTTGGTCACTACCCAAAGCTCATGACCATAGGTGAGGGTAGGAACGTAGATCGACCGTTAAATTGAGAGCTTTGCCTTCTGACTCAGCTCTCTCTTCACCACGACAGACCGGTACAACGCCCGCATCACTGCAGATGCAGCACCAATCCGGCGCCTATAGATCTCACGCTCCAGCTTTCCCTCACTCGTGAACAAGACCCCGAGATACTTAAACTCCTCCACTTGGGGCAGGACCTCGTCCCGTACCTGGAGAAGGTGTTCTAACCATTATCCATCTCGGGACCATGGTCTCGGGTTTAGAGGAGCTGATTCTCATCCCAGCTCTTTCACACTCAGCTGTGAACCGCTCCAGTGAGAGCCGGAGATCACGGTCTGATGAAGCCAACAGGACCACATAATCTGCGAAAAGCAGAGACCCGATCCTCAGGACACCAAAACGAATTCTCTCAATTTTATTTTAATATTTGATGATCAACAAACTGAAAAAGCTGACTGCACAGAAAATGGCTAACTGTCGTAATGCATGTAAAGCCGGGCGTACACTGTGCGACTTTTTCACTTTTTTGAGCCGATTTTCCAGTCGTGCGAGAAGCCACGACATCGGGGCGAGTTTTGCGCCGAGCGGTCGTGTAGTGTACAGGGGGTTACGAGAGGCGATTAACACCACGTGACAAGCCGCCGATCAGCAGTCGTGAGGTCGCAGGGACTTCTGGTGTGTTTAATATTTCGCTCGTCCCTCGTGAGGGTATCGCACTGTTGAAGCGGCGCTGCGAGCAGCTGCGAGCAGCTACGATCCAAAAAGTATCAGAACCGCTCACGGCGCATGCGCGCGCAATCCTGCATCAACGCCGGCCGGTCGCTCGCTATTTCCCTAATAACACACGCTGTTCGTTTTTGTTTCTACACGTTTTTTTACTCACAAAGATTGTCAAGAAAGCGTGTTTGTCGTGTTCATGTCAAATTAAACTGATCATAAAACACAGATTCACTTTCTTTATTTCGTTTTCCTCATCCAACCCCCATAAATCCCTGTGTGTCCTCCTGCAGCACTCCCGAAGAACAACAGGCAAGACAAAAAAGTCTGACGTGTTGTGTAAAAACTGCTATTTTTAGCACATTTTAGGGCCGACGTGTTGCTACCAGACGTACAGTGTGAGCAGTCAGGTCGCATGCGAGAATTGGGTCGTACAGTGTGAGCACACGACTCGTGAGATCTGCTCTGCGAGGAAGTCGTACAGTTTGAGCTGAAGCTGAACGCTGCGAGTGAAAAAGTCGCACAGTGTACGCCCGGCTTAAGAGAGCACCCCCTGGAGCACCTGCCCCCTCCACAAAAGCGTTAAGTGCGGTATCTGGCCAGCAGAGGGCAGCAGAGTGGTGTCAAAAATGAAACTGGTCAAGTTTCTAACCCAACAATCAATGAGATCAATGTTAAAGCTCTAGCTTACAGCATAAAAGCAACTTTTTAGTGATACTTTAAGTTATACCTTATAAACATGAAAAAATCATACTAGACTAAAATTCAGTACAACAATTTAGAAAAATTTCCTTCAAATAAATAACAAAAAAATACCAAATTAAAACATTATAATTTTAAATGAAGTGTTTCTAAATAATAAGAAGCTGTAAGTTTAGGAGGGATCAGACAAAGAGCAGCCCGAAGACCTTTTATGATGAATTATATAAATGGAAACCGTGCTCCCTCGCCCGGACGTGGGTCACCGGGGCCCCCTCTGGAGCCAGGCCTGGAGGTGGTGTGCGTTGGCGATCGCCTGGGGGCCGGGCTTTCACCCATGGAGCCCGGCCGGGCACAGCCCGAAGAGGAAACGTGAGCCCCCCTTCCCATGGGCTCACCACTCGTGGGAGGGGCCAAAGGGGTCGGGTGCGGTGTGTGACGGGTGGTAGTCGAGGGCGAAGACCTTGGCAGTCTGATCCTCGGCTACAGAAGCTGGCTCTTGGCACATGGAATGTCACCTCTCTGATGGGGAAGGAGCCTGAGTTGGTGTGTGAGGTTGAGAGGTTCCGACTAGATATAGTCGGACTCACCTCAACGCATGGCTCTGGCTCTGGAACCAGTTTCCTTGAGAGGGGTTGGACCTTCTACCACTCTGGAGTTGCTCCCACTGAGAGGCGCCGAGCAGGGGTGGGCATACTAGGTGCCCCCCATCTTGGTGCCTGTACGTTGGGGTTTACCCCAGTGAATGAGAGGGTAGCCTCCCTCCGCCTACGTGTGGGGGGACGGGTTCTGACTGTGGTCTGTGCTTATGCACCAAACTACAGTTCAGACTACCCACCCTTTTTGGAGACCTTGGAGGGGGTACTGGAGATCACTCCTTCTGGTGACTCCCTCGTTCTGCTGGGGGACTTTAACGCTCATGTGGGCGACGACAGTGAGACCTGGAGAGGTGTGGCTGGGAGGAACAGCCCCCCTGATCTGAATTCGAGTGGTGTTTTGTTATTGGACTTCTGTGCCAGTCATGGATTGTCCATAATGAGCACCATGTTCAGACATAAAAGTGTCCATATGTGCTCTTGGCACCAGGATACCTTAGGCCGCAGCTCGATGATCGACTTTGTTGTTGTTTCATCTGACCTGCGGCCGCATGTCTTGGACACTCGGGTGAAGAGAGGGGAGGAGCTGTCAACTGACCACCACCTGGGGGTGAGTTGGCTCAGATGGTGGGGGAGGATGCCGGTCAGACCAGGCGGGTCCAAACGTATCGCGAGGGTCTGCTGGGAAAGTCTGGCAGAGCCTCCTGTCAGAAGGAGCTTCAATTCCCACCTCCGACAGAACTTCCAAAATGTTCCGGGGGAGGCGGGGGACATTGAGTCTGAATGGGCCCTGTTCAACACATTGTTGAGGTGGCCGACCGGAGCTGTGATCGCAGGATCGTAGGTGCCTGTCGTGGTGGCAACCCCCGAACCCACTGGTGGACACCGGCGGTTAGGGATGCTGTCAAGCTGAAGAAAGAGTCTTATCAGGTCTTTTTGGCATGTGGGACTCCAGAGGCAGCTGACGGGTACCTGGGGGGTGGATGAGATCCGCTCGGAGTTCCTTAAGGCTCTGGATGTTGTGGGGCTGTGTTGGCTGATGTGGCTCTGCAATATCGCGTGGACATCGGGGTCAGTCCCACTGGATTGGCAGACCGGAGTGGTGGTCCCCTTATTTAAAAAGGGGGACTGCAGGGTGTGTTCCAACTACACGGGGATCACACTCCTGAGCCTTCCTGATAAGGTCTATTCAGGGTTCTGGAGAGGCGGGTCCGTCGGATTGTTGAACCTCAGATTCAGGAGGAGCAATGTGGTTTTCATCCTGGCCGTGGACCACTGGACCAGCTCTATACCCTTAGGGGGATCCTGGAGGGTGAGTGGGAATTTGCCCAACCAGTCTACATGTGTTTTGTGGAGTTGGAGAAGACGTGTGACGCGTCCCTCGGGGGGCCCTGTGGGGGACACTCCGGGGGTATGGGGTACCAGGCCCTCTGATATGGGCTGTTAGGTCCCTGTATGACCGGTGTCAGAGCTTGGTCCACATTGCCGTCAGTAAGTCGGGCTCGTTCCCAGTGAGAGTTGGACTCTGCCAAGGCTGCCCTTTGTTACCGATTCTTTTCATGACCTTTATGGACAGGATTTCTAGGTGCAGCCAAGGTGTGGAGGGCATCCGTTTTGGTGGCCTGAGGATCAGGTCTCTGCTTTTTGCAGATGATGTGGTCCTGTTGGCTTCATCAGGACGTGATCTTCAGCTTTCGCTGGAGCGGTTCTCAGCTTTCGCTGGAGCGGTTCGCAGCCGAGTGTGAAGCAGCTGGGATGAGAATCAGCCCCTCTAAATCTGAGACCATGGTCTTGATTCGGAAAAGGGTAGAATGCCTTCGCCGGGTCAGGGATGAGATCCTGCCCCAAGTGAAGGTGTTCAAGTATTTCGCGGTCTTGTTCACGAGTGAGGGAAAACTGGAGCGTGAGATCGATAGGCGGATTGGTGCTGCATCTGCAGTGATGCGGGCGTTGTACCGGTCTGTCGTGGTGAAGAGAGAGCTGAGTCAGAAGGCGTAGCTCTCGATTTACCGGTGGATCTACGTTCCTACCCTCACCTATGGTCATGAGCTTTGGGTAGTGACCGAAAGAACGAGACTGCGGATACAAGCGGCCAAAATGAGTTTCCTCTGAAGAGTGGCTGGACTCTCATAGGATGAGAAGCTTCGGTCATTCGGGAGGGGCTCGGAGTAGACCTGCTGCTCCTCCACATCGAGAGGAGCCAGTTGAGGTGGCTCGGGCATCTGGTCAGGATGCCTCCTGGACGCCTCCCTGGTGAGGTTTTCCGGGCACGTCCAACCGGGAGGAGACCTAAAGGTAGACCCAGGACACGCTGGAGGGACTATGTCTCTCACCTGGCCAGGGAACGCCTTGGGATTCCCCCGGAGGAGCTGGCCCAAGTGGCTGAGGAGAGGGAAGTCTGGGCCTCTCACCTTAGGCTACTGCCCCCGTGACCCGACTCTGGATAAGCGGATGAGAATGGATGGATGGATGGAAGTTTAAAAGAATAAAATAATGTGGTGCAGGAAGCCAATGTCCTTGTATGAGGTCACAAGGTCACCAGTAACTTTTATCCTTTTACTTCCAACAGTCAGTGTTTCCTCCAATGCCTGACAAAAAATCAAGTGAGTCTTTCTCCTTCCTTTCTGCCAAAACAGCAGTCAAACAATGAAATGCACACAAATTACATCTGGAGCCTTTTTCAGGTGACGAAAGACGTGCCAGTACACCCAGAGCCCCCCCACCCACTCCTGGAGCAAAGCCTCCATTACCGGGGAACATGAAGGATCCGAAGCCCATGTAAGAATGTTTTTGGATCAATAAAACATGTTTCAAGTGGTGGAATGTCTGTTTTTTGTAGGTTTTGGTTGGAAAATGTTTACATAAATAGAAGTTTTTCTGCTTTACTTTAGGCCTCCTGTTCCTCCGATGGCCGACACAAAGCCTGCAGGTACGATTCTTATACATGTTGGTTACAGAGGAGCTTTGCCAACAGATTTTTATTTTTGATGTAACCCAGACATCATAAATATTATATATATTTAAATGACTCCCCAAGCACACAAGCTCTTTTCTGTTGGTTTTTAGGTGGGCTTAGGAAATCTGGATCATTTGGGACGGAGGTAAACTTTCACCTACTTTCCATTTTGCCTTTCTAGTTTGAAATATTTCAAAATTTAAACAATTTACTATCCTGATTTGTCTTACAGCCTAAATAACGTGCTTGCATGTTTAAATTGTATGAGACGGAATGAAAAAAAACTTCTTGTACATTAATTTTGTGTATCTTTTCGACATTTCTTTGTTCTTTTTAAAGAGCAAGTCACTCCAAATCAACATTTTTTTGCTGATAAACTATATAAATGGGTGTCTGATCGTGCTGTTGGCAAATGCAGTTAATAATACGGCATTTTAGTTCTTCTTAGTTAAAATTTAAATATTCTGCCTAAAATTGTCAGTGTTGTGCCGTTGTCAGGTAAAAACTCTGCACAGCATTTTAATTTAAATCTGCCATCGCTAGTGGCTCAGAGGTACCCTATGATGTTAGATGGTACATTATGATGTCACAATGTCGTGAGTGTGTGTATTTGTTAGCGGCTCTGCCCTCTTGGCCTGCTAGGCAACAGCATTTGTTGCATTTTTCAAACAGGAAGTGGGAGTTGAGTAAGAATCTGGTAGGGGGGTGACTTGCTCTTTAAACACAGAAAGGAAAAGTTGTTGTTTACCTTGTTTGCTAATGTTTTGGCTACTTCCTGTAGCATCCTCAGAGCTGTGACGATGCTTACGGCGTCACTTCCTTCTCTGTTTATGTGCGGGCAGCACAGGAAGTTGTTGCCCTCTGCTACCCGTGCCCTCCTTGTCGACGACAGTCACATGAGTGATCTAACGGGCAGACTCCATCCTCTCTATTTATGCATGTCCCTGCCCGCGCCCTCCTCGTCACGCTGGCCCCCCCTGCCCCCCTCTGTTACATCCAGAACCTCCCCTGGACCATGATTATAAGAGCAGCAGCACCAGGATCAAACTTCTTAGAAGAGAAACGTCTGTGATTAAAGAAGGAATATCTCTAAATGATATAAGTAAGTTTCAGTAAATCTGCTGAGGCTGACATCATTTTGGTGCGCTGTGTTCCAGGAAAAGGATTGGTTTGCTGGAGACTGCAGTAGAAAAGAAGCTGAGGAACTTTTACAGAGATATAAAAAGGTAAACTTATGTTTATGATGAAGTTTTTTTACCATTTAGTACACTGATCATTTATAGGCAGTGAGAGAATTAGACACATTTTAAACAGAGAATGAATATTTCATTTAAATTAACGCTAACTCATGATCACCTCTGAAGGATGCTATAGGTGGGATTGTTTTCCCGAGTCTCATACTCACCGTTTCCTCCGATTCATTTGTGTTGTAGGACGGTGTCTTCCTGATCCGACACAGCTCCAACCAAAGCTCCACCCAGCCGTACACCCTGGCCATGCTCTACCAGCAGAAGGTGTACAACATTCCTGTCCGATTCCTGGAAGAAACTCAGAGCTATGCCCTCGGAAAGGAGGGCAAGAGGAATGAAGAGGTGAGGGTGGGGGAACAGTGTTGTTTTGAGGATCTAGAAGAAGAGAGAAATTATTTTTTTCATCACCTTCTTCCTTTTAGGTTTTCTCCAGTCTTGATGAGATGGTTTCCTACCACAGGAAAAACCAAATCCTTCTGATTGACAGCAGGAGCCAGGCCAAGCACACAGCGAACCTAACCCAAGCTGCACGCTCTTGAAACCACTCCAACAGTTTGCCGTGCTGAGATTCACTGGAGGCACAAGCTCACATCTTTCTTTATGAAAACACCACAGGGCGTCTTTCAGACGAGAGGAACCACGAGCTGCACCAGACGGAAGCAAAAGGCTTAGAAATCACTTGACGGAGTGATTTTAAAACACAACATCGTTTTAGTGAATATTGCACAAGTGAAAAAAAAAACACTTTTCTGAGATGGAAACTCACTACAACACTCATTCAGTTGGTTTGGTGGAAGTAAAGACTCATTATTAAATTGCTCTAGTCATAATATGTTGTCATGTATTCAAATCACTTCATAACTGCATGTTTTGCATTTTTTCCGATTCCTTGGAATGTTCTGTAGTTTTGACGTGTTATTTTAAATATATTTAAAGACTTTTTTCCTGTATTTCTTTTCAAAACTTCCAAAAGATATCCTACATCTAACTAAATATGTTTTTAAAACTGTTTCTGAGGTGTTTAAAGGTCATAAATGCTGGAATTGAATGCAACACCCCCCGACAACAAAATGTGCCTACGTTTTAGCTTCTCATTACTGTCGTGTTTTACCTATATTTATAAAACAAAGCTGAGCTTTTCTAAAATGCAAACTTTTATGCAAATGTTGGTGCAACGTTTGCATGAACTAAATAATGCCCTGGAGTCCGTTTATGAAGCACTCGTGCGTGAAGCTCCCACAGAGGCTCTTATGACCGCCTGACCAATGCAAACACCACAAAGTGCAACGTAGGGAAAGTTTTATTTGTTGCAGTTATTTACCAACTTTCAATATTCTAATAAAAAATAAAATTACATCGGTACTGTACAAACATTCTGAAGCTTCTTCTCATTTTTGTTTCTTTAATTTTCAGTTTGAAAAGTAAAAACTTCCTTTAGTTGTTTTACGCTTATCCGTTTATCAGATGCTTTTATGCAAAGCGACTTAAAACTGCCTTCAAGCACTCAACGTGCACGTTTTTGCTCTGCATGGAGAGATCATGCTAACTCTGAGCAGAAAAGCTGCACCACACACACACAAGCAGCGCCACTAAATGCACCACCAGCTCATTTCTGATGAAATTCTAATGTGTCACGTTTTGGAGGGATGTTGGAACACAAAATGCAGAACCCAGGATGACACGAGGCAGGAGTTGATATAAAGAAAAAGTCCTTTTATTGCAGGAAGAACAACATAAATCCAAAAGGCAGGGATCCAAAATCCAAAAAGTCCAAAAGCACAAGAGGAACAAGCAGACTGACAGAATAAATCACACTGACAAACAACAATGGACCGACACAACACAGAGACAAGACAGGGCTTATATAGACAGGGAGGAGCAATTAGGGAAACAGGAAGCAGGTGTGTGGAGTGAGGCTGGAGGGAAGGCAGGTGACAACAATTATCTGGATGGGGAAGAGAACCAGTGGAGGGCAGATAAACCTAAAACTATATAAAACACAAAACTAAACCTAAAGACTAAGGGAAGGACTCACACAAACACATACACATGCTGACACACACAAACTCATACACACATACAATGAACTGGGGAACAAGAGGCTGGAGCTACAACTTAAGACACACAACAGAGATGCAGACAAAGGACACATGAGGGCGCTAAGAGAACACAAAAGGAGAACCTGGAGTGGGAACTGGAGGAGCTGGGGAACAAAGGGACACAGAACATGACATAATGTTTGTTTTATTGTTTCTACTTAAAAATATTATTTCATTAACGGCTTTAATAGTGATCACATTGGTGCAGAATAATAATTCTGAAACACTTTCCAGATAATATTTCATTGTAGACTGAAATGTCATTGGGATGGTTTAATATTAATCTGGTTATTTAATGTCCAGACCATGAAAAATAAATATTAATATGCATTCATCTGGGACAACAACTGATACAATAATGTAAACAAAAATACATATGTAATGATGAATGTGAGTTTGGATTTCTGACATTCATTAATTAACACCGTTACATGTCTTCATTCAGGAATTTGATCAATCAAACGATTAACAAACCGATCGACTGATTAATTGACAACCAGTCAGTTGATCAATTAATCAATTAATCAATAACAAAGTTCCTTACAAAATGCGGCCGCCACTTGTTTATTCCATTTTCATTCTCTACAGTTTTAATAAGTGGCAACAAGTCAAAATTAGACATCTTAAAAAAGCAGCATGCTTAACTGTAAATGTAAGTAAGTAAAACTTTATTTATATAGCACTTTTCACGGATAAAATCACAACGTGCTTCACAACATACATAAAAAGGCAAAACAGGACAGGAGCACAAGGTCAACTTACATAAAAGCTTGTCTAAATAAGTGTCTTCAGCTGCTTTTTAAAAGAATCAGCAGAGTCGGCCACACGAAGAAACAAGAGCACGGTGTACCAAAGTCTGGGAGCTACAGCTTGAAAGGACAGGTCCCCTCTAGTTTTAAATCTGGTCTTAGGGACCTTCAGGTTCTGACCCGAGGACCGTAGAGTGCGGCCAGAAGAGTGAGGGATTAAAAGGTCTGATAAATATGGTGGAGCTTGTCCATTAAGAGCTCTAAAAGTCAAAACTAAAATTTTAAAATCAATTCTAAACTTGACCGGTAGCCAATGTAAAGAAGATAAAACTGGTGGTTAAAACAAGTAAAGATAGAATTACAATAATCTAAACAAGAGGAAATAAAAGCTTGGATAATCATCTCCGAGTCCGATTTTGAAGTAAAAGCTCTCAATTTGGAAATGTTTCGCAAATGATAAAAGCAGTTTTTTACTAAATGTTTTGAGTGGCAGCTCAAAGACATGGACTGGTCAAAAAGAACACCAAGATTTCTGAGACTGGTCTGGACTGAGGAGCTCAGGGAACCGAGGTGTTGTTTGATTAAAAGCACTTTCTGTTCAGGAGCAATGATCAGTGTTTCAGTCTTGCTTGAGTTCAACTGAAGACAGCTACTAGCTAGCCAGTCCTTAATACGCTCAATGCAATCAAGTAGCTCAGCTAACTTGTTAAACTCTGTGTCCTTGAAAGAGCAGTACAGTTGAATGTCATCCGCATATAAATGGTAGGACACACTAGTAAAGCTTTTAATGATCTCCCCAAGAGGGCAAATATATAAAAGAAACAAAATTGGGCCAAGGACTGAGCCCTGGGGAACACCGTGAAGCAAAGATGTGACTTTAGACCTAATCTTGTTTACACATAAAGAAAATGTTCTGTTATTTAAATAGGAAGAAAACCACTTCAGAACCATACCAGAAAATCCTAAGTCATTGTGAAGTTGATGTAACAGAATTTTATGGTCAACCGTGTCAAAAGCTGAAGACAAATCCAATAAAACCAGTACAGTATACTGGCCAATGTGACTTTTGTTAATCAATTGCAGGAAATTAAGATCTTTGCAAGAAATTGATTTTTCTAGCCTATTATTTTGACAGATGCTCTTGCCATCTCCATCATACATGTTTTTAGTTTGGCTGAAGGTTTCTTCTCCAGCAGCCCTTTGCTTGATGCTCCTTTTATAATGAAAGCTATAATCCTAATGATGATGGAGGTGGACTGAACTTAATGAGATGCAGTTTTTATTGTGAAAACTTAATGTTTTATCCTTATTCTGATAAATGAATATGTGACAACTATTTAAATGTTAGAAACAAGGAGCCAAGATTTCAGAAGTTGGTGAAAGGAGGAGGGGGAAGGGGCTGCGGCGGAGGGGTACAATCAGCACATTAAACCAAATCAATTCTCAGCATCGTAGAACAAAACTATAAGACAACAAAACTGGATTGCCATCGTTTAATAACTTATGACAAATCGGTGTGAATTTTAGGACAGCCCTGTTGGATTGAAAGACTACGAGAAGAGGCGGTTTGGCTCAATTAGAGTGGACTACTTTTCCTAGCGGAGGTGCGGACTTTTTAACCAGCACGGGTGTAGGGGTGCTGCTGAGTGGGATCAGCCACCGGATTCGTGTGATTACCATCGAGAGCCACTCGGGCTACATCTTCCTGCCCATCATTTAGGCTTCTGGGGCTTCTTGGGGCACAAATCCACCTCCTTCCTTTTGTTCGCCCCCATCCCCTCTCCTCCTCCACGGGTTCTTCTGAATCCAACAGAACACCTAGAAATGGCCCAGATACTACCGATACGATTCCAGGAGCATCTCCAGGTAAGCTCACGCACGGACACACGCACAATAAACGCCTTCAAAACGAAACACAGCCGCGTTTCTTTTGATTTTTGCGCCGCTGTTTTGTCCGCGTAGCTGCACGCGCACAGACGGCACATGTCGCATTTAAATGGAATCTGAAATAGGGCTGCAGGGCGGTGCTCGATATAGCTACAGGCCTAGTTCTCCTCCTGCTGGGCTGATGATGACTTGTGAAAATTGAACAGTCTGGTTGGAACACAGCTCTAATGCGGACCGGCGCGTGCCGTGCGTAAATATCCCGCAGTTCTCTCCCAACGTCGCCGACGTTTTTCGGACAAAATGCGGCGTTTGGACACTTTCTGGTTGTTGTTGCCGAACAATTAACCTCAGCTGTTCGGGTCGGAGCTGAACGGCACTTGCTCAGGCTTTGTGTTGTCATGTCCAGCAGCAGCGTCCCCCCCGGCGCACTTATAAACCGATTTTTGCGCAGATTTTGACTCAAAATCAACCCAGTGCTGCTTAGACTATGGTTTTAAACCAACGTGTGTTCAGTTTTTAGTATAAGACGTATTTTACTCAGAACTATCTCATAAGCTCCATGTGAAGTATTATATTGATTTAACGTATTTCTAAGCTCTTATATTTTGTGCAGCTTGCAATAATTAGTAAATAGTAGCAGTTCTAGAGGGAAAAGCAGCACTGAATGCCCCCTTTTTGATGGTCTGTGACAATAAAAGAGACAAACAGCCTCTTGTCTGGTCGTCTGTTCCACCACGGTCCCCCTTTGACCCCCTGTTTTGGACCGTTCAGCCAAAGCAGAAACTTTGTGACACCCCACCTCTTCCTCCTCCTCGGGTCTGTAGCCTGTTGTTATGGCAACGACAGGCAGTGAAATGGCCTTTCACTGGAGAAAAAAAAAGAGGTCCCCTCCCCTCTTTATTTACACCCTTCCTCTGGCCTGAAGCCCCACTTTCCCCACTGAAGATCCTCTATCTGCTGGAAAACTGCCCCGACCACCAGGAAGCTTCCATCAGGCACCGTCTAGGTCATTGGTTCAAATTTTTGACCCAGGTGCATATGCCTACCTTTGCCCCGAGATGGTGATAATCAGCCATCTGCTTTATGTTTCTTTTCTACCTTGAAGGCACAGCTGAGCCCAGTTGCACCCCCCCCATGTGAGTTAAGGTGGCTCCAGCCGAGTGAAAAATGCTTGGAATGTGCAAACCCGAGACTTTGGGCCTCAAGTTGTTTAGGTTTTTTTTTTTTTTTTTTTTTTTTGTGGTATGGTATTTACAGCTCAGCGTCTCTGCTGTCAGCCTCAGTGCATTAATTTTTGCCCGGGTCCAGCTCTTTGTCAAGCGATACCTTTTGAGCTGATTTATTATCCTGGTTATTTATATCCAAGATGCAAGCATCAGGCTTGTTTACTAGGGGTACGATCATGCGTGTAAAAGCAGCCAGTGTATGTTGGGTTCAATAAGATGGACTGTCTCTTGAATAAGGAAAGTGGCTGAGCGAGAGTCATTAGGCTGTGCTGCAGACGGCGTGCACCAGCCTACGTCCTGTGGCAGCTTGAGCAAGTGCAAAAATGTCCTGCAGCTCTGGAGCAACCGATTGTGGCCCTGCCGAGATGCATTAAGAGCGTCCAGCCTGCAGCTTGGAGGCTGTTTTTGAAAGGATGCCACCGCATCAAACAGATGATGTTTAGGTCTGGTAAATGACATCAGGACAGGAAGCAGGAGGACAGAACAGACACACCAGGTGACGAGAATGAGCGTCAGTCTCTGGAATGCAATCATGAATCTTTTTAAAGTGCACTGAGCAAGCAAGCATGTGGCAACAGTGGAGAGGAAAACTCCCATTTAACAGGAAGAAACCTCCAGCAGAACCAGGCTCGGTACACGCAACCATGTGCCGTGAGTTACTTTAGAGCCATTATGGTAGTCATGGGCAATTTTAAGGCCAAGTACACTGAGAACCCTTTTTTAAAATAAGTTTAACGTGCAAGCCAAACTTAAAAACCATCTTCTACCCCCATTTCCTGCTTTAGCCGCTGACGGAAAATAGACGGAGAAACTCCGATTAGAAAAGCCAGTCAGTCAGTCTAGGGATGGGTACCTTTGACATTTGAATCGATTCGGTACCAATTCCCAGTACCTAGGAATCAATACCGGTACTTAACGGTACCAATTTTAGATACTTTTGAGTGTTTAATATTTTAATTCTCTTTTATAATTAAATATATATTTTTCTCAATATATAACCATATTTGATAAATATCACGATAAATAACATACAACTGTTTGTATTTTAACATCGTCCTTGTAGTTTTATAAGCTGATAATTAAACTGAAGCAAATGTCTTTACTGTGAACTAAATTTACTGTGTATCTTCATTCCTTTTGCCGTCACTTTTCATTTGATTTTTCCTACTGGGAAGTTAGAATTTCCGAGGAGAAAGCGAACGCACCATTAGATGATAACAATGGTGGCAATGGAAGCTAACATACCAAGCTAACGTTATCTTAAACATTTTATTTACCTACCGGAGCAGATTAAGATGAGGATGTCTCACTTAGATCGTTGTCGCTGGTTTCATCATCACCCAGTTACCCATCACATTTAGTGAAGTGGACCCAAGCGTTAGCGTGCGTTCTTTCTACCATGCTGCTCTGTTTACAACTGGCTCGCAGCTACCATCGACATAAATATATGGACAATGGGTTTCCATAGGCTCCAATAACACATTTTTGAAGAGAAATGGGAGGTGGCTACCACCGCCATTTCGACCGTGTCACAGGTTCCGTCAAGCCCAGACAATTCCATAAAAGGGAAGAGAGGAGGAGCTGAGGGTGGGGCTGTAAGGCAGGGATCGGCTGACGACACCCGGTCGAACTAGCTACAAGCTAACCTAAAGCTAACCCAAAGCTAATGCAGAGGTGGGTGCTAAGCTAACGGAGGTAGCAACCTAGCTACAAACGGAGTTAACTGTGCACAACAACAGAGCTTCTCCAGAGATACGCTGGGCTGACCGCTGGGTAAAACCGGGTGGAACACAGAGGTCTCGGAGAGCTCCACAAGCCGACAGCCGCACAGCAGACAAGCACCGCTGCGATTTGAGATGCGCAGAGCTGCCGCTGGGGAGAACCGGGTGGAAAGGTTTCCATACCAGAGCTCCACAAGCCGGCAGCCCCCGCAGCTAACAGAAGCCGCGATCAGACAGAGATGGACCGGGCTGCGGGGAGGGGGACAAGGGTGGAAAACATCGGTCTCCCGAGAGCTCCACAAGCCGATAGTGGGAACCCAGCTCCACCAACATGTTATATTTCTACCCATTTTCTAAAGTGCAGCATTTTGTTAAATGCACTGGGTTTTACCCTATTACATTTACATTTCATGGTTAAACAGTACATGTTAAAATCTAAGCTCAGCTCGGCAGTGACCTAAAATACATAAATATAATTTTACTTACAGAAAAAAATGAAGTGGAGACTCCTTGGACGCTCTATTAGTGCAATTAATGCCACAGCAAGTCATTTTGTCCAACAATTGCACAAAAAATATCCAAAAAAGAATACACACACACAGAGACTCAAAATCCCGGAGCAGTTTCCAGGCCAGACCGAGGCTCTACTGAGGCCTTTCCACGGAGCTAGCTCTGTGGTCACGTGGGTCTGATGTTCATTAATTATACAGAATTTTAGGCTTTTAATACACTTAAACAGAAGAGTGAGAAAAAAATTCACCCCCCTCAGAGTTGTCATGAGTGTAAACTAGATCATTTAAACCAAAAACATGTTTTGGTACCAGGCTGTAAACATGTTTATTTCTGCTGTGAAATTGGTATTTTTAACATGGGAGTCAATGAGGATTTGCTTGCTTCTGACACCAGCCCCTAGTGGATGAGGGTGGAACTGCAATTTATTTCACTTCCGGGTTTGACTCAATTTCAGAAATGCATTGTGGGGGCCTCGCAGCGACCGACGACATAACGCTCTTGCGCATGCACAACTGTCTAGGCAAGTTCTCCTTATGAAGGACGGGTACCGAAACGAGGAACCGTTTCAAATGACGTGAATCGGTGCTCAGTCGGTACCAGGGCTGGACTGGGACAAAAATTCAGCCCGGGCATTTTGACTGGAGACCGGCCCATCACCTGTTTTTTTTGGAAAATACATTAAGCCTTATGCTGTTTCTGACACACACCAACGTACACTTTCTTATTGGTAGTATTTATGTATCAATCTAATAAACGTAAACCTACACCATCCTTCCTATCCTGGTATTCTAAAAAGTAGGGTTGGGGGTAACTGATTATTTTTAAAATGATTATTCTGACGATTATTTTATCGAATAGTCGACTATTCTAATGACTATTTAGATGATTAATCTAGTGATTACTTTTCTATTGCACAATTAATAAAAACCAAAAAATTCTCAAATAAATTCCTCCAAAAAATTGATAAGTTGTTACTGTAAGAGAATAAACACTACAGGCCTTCCATTTTGTATAACACTGCTTTTATTGTGTTGCGGTTGGTTATGTTCTGGTGACGTGTAGAACTTGGGAGTGCAGGCTGCTGCCTGAGAGGTGGTTGGAGACGGAGTGTCTCCATGCTGCTTTGTTTTGTTCACTTATGTGCATGAGGCAAGTGGTGTTACGACCCTTCCTGGGGAGTCACGTGTTTCTCCTATTTTAACTGTAAATCCTTCTAGCTGTTATATTTATAACAAGAAACAGATATTCGGACAGAATATTTTCACGTTTATTCGAATATGATTGTGGAACACACCCAGCATCATAATACATGAAGTAATATTTATGCCAATTTAAGCCTTTATGGGTGACCAGAACTCTGTGTTTATGAATGTGGAAGACACCCAGCATCCTGTGATGGCACTAATAACATCAAGAGATAATAAATAAGGTAATATTTAGGTCAATTTAACCCTTTACACGTGACCAGGACACTGTAATCAATTTTTGGCAAGGGAAATGATCATTTGTTGCCATTTTT